ATCCGGAGGAGTCATTGTCGAGGGTTCTCCAAGCATTAACATTGAACCAAGATCCAAGAAAAAAGCAGGGATTCAAACCATAAGCAATTATCTCTAATTCCCGTCTGTTCCCTCTATATTCTCCCCCCTCTCTCTCTCTCCTATTCCTCTTTCTTTTGGCCTCTCCCTATCTTCCCCACTTCCTCTCTCTCTCTCTCTCTCTCTCTCTCTCTCTCTCTCTCTCTCTCTCTCCCTCCCCCTCTCCCTCCCTCTTTATCTATCTCTCTCCCCTCTCTTCCCCGTCATGTCTTTATCTATCTCTCCCCTCTCTTCCCCACTATGTTTTTATCTATCTCTTTCCCTCTCTTTCTCTCTTTATCCGAGCCAACTCGGTCACTAGTTCGCCCCCCCACGTAGGACTAATGTTTTCACAATATGCGCCCTACATTGCGAGTAAATAGACTCCGTTTGAATAACTTCCACAACGCTCTTCACACGGCTGACTGTTCTTCCAAGATGTCCCATCGATCAACAAGTGGATTCACACGCGCCCCAAAATGTCTTAACAACTCGCGGGGCACGCTCACCACGACTGGGTTAGGTCTAGAATGATCGTCCTTAAAATAGTATTTCCCTCGCTTCGTATCGCGTGAGTGCATGTACTTTAACCGCCACTCTTGACCGTCGTCAGGGGACTCAGTAAAAAGTCAAACATTATTTATTTAACCCCTAATCCCATTTTCATAGAAAACGAAGGTATTCGATTCTTTAATGCGGAAGAGATCGATAGCACCTTTGCCACAAGGAGATAATGATGACCGTAATGTCAGCAACGTGTTTATTTTTGGCCCGTGAGAGCAAAAAAATCAACCAACGCATGTAGAATGTCTGATGTCCAGAGAAAATAGAAACATTGTTCATTTAAACAAATACGATAAACACCGCCGTTTGTTTGGACCTTCGATGGGTGTTTTCCTTTCTATCTGTAATCGAACACTGATTGGACTGGACTTGGCCGGGGGATCGCCCTCTTTTTAACCAGACTTCGCTTCTTTGGACGAGAAACCTCACCGTCTACCTCCCCATCATCCAGCCAAGTCCCGTCCAATTCAACGCTAATTGGACTGGACTTGGCTGGGGTTGTCCGCTTCTTCGGACAAGAAACCTCATCATCTGACCCCCTTCACCTCTCTCTGTCTCTGTCTCTGTCTGCATGTCTGTCTGTTTGCATGCACGAGATAATTGAACCATAACTGGACTTGGCTGGGTGATCCCCGTGTATTAACCAGCCTCCACTACTTCGGACGTGAAACCACACCATATTAGCACCCACCCCCCAACCAACCTCTCGCTCTCTCACTCAATATTCTGATACGATGATAAAGTGGGCGTCGGTGGCGGCAGTGATGGCTGTGATGCCAACGTTTTGTGCCGGCGCTGACCTGAAGATCGGCTTCTACGATACAACGTTCCCTTCGGCGGAGGAGCTGGTCATCCGCAGCAATCATCCGCGTACACTTCCTCGACTTTTTCGTCAGGGTGAGCACTTTTCCTTCTTCTCTCTAGAGTTCTCTCTCTCTCTCTCTCTCTCTCTCTCTCTCTCTCTCGACTTAAGTCTTCAGAACATGACCGATGACCTGAAAATCTCAAGGCTGCGACGGGTCGGTAACCCTCGACTCCACACCAGGGAACCCATCGGAGAAGGAAGCGGTCCACATTCAGACCCTCCGCGGCTTCGAGGTGATCGACGCCGCTAAGGAGGCCACCGAGGCAGAGTACCCCGGTGTGGTCTCCTGCGCCGACGTCCTCACCTTCGCCGCTCGCGACAACGCCGCCTCGCCGGCAACATCTTATACCAAGTTCCCGCCGGCCGCCGGTACGGCGTCGCCTCCAACGTCTCGGAGGTCGACTTGCCCCCCCGATAGCCAACGCCAGTGAACCCATCCGACGCTTCGCCCAGAAGAACCTGACGGCCGACGAGATGGTCACCCTCTCCGGCGCCCACTCAATCGGCGTCGCCCACTGCCGGAGCTTCCTCAAACGGATCTCCCGGAACGGTAGCGGCCAGATCGACCCGACTCTGGGTCTCTCCTACGCTAAGATGCTGCAGGCCACGCGCACGCCCACGCACTCTAGTACGACCACGGTGAGGCAGGACCTGACCACCGCCGGCGTCCTGGACAACAAGTACTACTTGGGACTTCAGAACAACCTCGGGTTGCTCACCTCCGACCAAACCCTGACGACGGTGGCCGCCCTCAGGGTGGCGGTGGACGTCAACGGCAAGTACCCCGCTGTGTGCTCAGAGAAGTTCAAGCAAGCTACGGTGAAGAGGGGGACACCGAAATGCTTACGGACGGCCAAGGAAAGATCAGGAAACAGTGCAGGATCATTAACAGTTCCCCCTCGGCTGTGGAACGATCTCCCGCTCCAGTTAGAAACCGTGTTTTCCTCTCCAACTCAATAAACGGTGCTTCGTATAATCTACACAACCTGTCTGGGCCATGTGGGCTCCGAGTGTAAGCTGGACAAAAGATCATGGCTCGGATAGATTGAGCGGGGGCTGCCCCACAAATGTCTGTCTAATCTGGCTAGTTTAGAATGAGAGAGCGAGATCTCTCTCTCTCTCTCTCTCTCTCTCTCTCTCGCTAGATAATAATTATTGATTATCAGAGTGTAATGGTCATATCGGCATAGTGTATGCCAACGTAGCCTTACTTTTAATAATTGAAAGTTGTCTGTTATCTTACACTGATTTCTTAATGATCTTCTTTTTACTAATGTTGTTTATAATTGATAGCTAATTAATATCTCAGTTTAAATCTCATTGAAAAAGTTTAACCTAGGGTGTTATCTTATAATCATAGAGTTGTTGGCTATTTGACGCCAATGTTTTTAGTAAATACCAGTTATGACAGACTAATTACCCACATATACAAAGTTTTATGAAGCACATGACCCCTTAAGTGTGATTAAATCCTAAAATATGACCATCTAAAATTTTCATCTTGAAAATCTTGTTTTATCTTATGGATTTTCTGTCATAACCCAATTTGAATATAAAAAATATTTAAATGTTAAATCAAATTTATATTATCAGTGCCCATACATATGATGGAATGGTCCTCCCCAAACAAGAAAGCTTCATAAATGTTTTCTACACAGAATATGATTATTGAATGTTTTTGAAGTTTCTTAAGGTACTTACCTTCCCAAAAGTTGACAAATTCATTAGTAACCGTCGTATCTTCCTTAGCTGGAGTTCTATGAACGAAAAGCCTTTGACAACTTTGAGATTATTACTTGGTCATTGGTCTACCAAGTTTCAGCTAATAGATGTTTTAGTTTGAAAGCGCCTAAATTACCGTTATTATGACACTCTCTCACCAGCCCGTCTTATTATTAAATATTGGACCGTAAAAAATAAGAGCTCTTTATCTTATCTTGTGGTTGTTTCCCATGAGACAACTTATCCCTCTTTCATCTCTCTCTCTCTCTCGCTCTCTCTCTCTCATACACACACAGGTGCTTGATCATACAAGATCATTCACGACCTTCATACCCTCCGTTTGTCTCCCGCCCTCTCCCTCTCTCTCTCTCTCTCTCATATTTACAGAGAGAGAGAGAGGAGATTGAACGGGTCTCTATCCACTCGCCTACGACTGCACGACAGCATTGAGACAGAGAGGTCCCGCTAGGTCGTACCCCGTATAATATGGCTGTACGTTCTTTCGATGTAAGAGTAGTACAATTTGTAGACTGAGAGATGGCCTGAGGTGGGCTCTGAGCTCATCAGGCCCTTGACACCCGCACTGGTTGGATGGAAGACCGCGTGCCTGTCAGGTGGAAGCCATACTACCAGTGGTGCCAACCTGATCCACGGTTTGTGGGTGTCCAATCCCACTCGGTCATTGGCCTTCCCATCAAGTCCTCAGAATCACGCGCCACCACACTAGGCTATACTCCGATTGAAAATCCTCGTCGACGTCACCTTCACAAGTCTGACTGTTCTACCGAGACAAGTCGTCGATGAGTGGGTTCACACATGCCGCCCTGAAACTGGACAACAGGTGGACTGACGGCACCAGTGACAGGGACGCCTTTGGAAAATACCAATCCTTAAGATTCTATTAAAAGATGAACTGACCACCATCCTTTGACCTGAAAAATGGACGAATAAAAGGGTTATTTATTCAAATCTGATTCCATTTTACATGTCAGAACGTAGAGAAATTCATAGGTTTCTTGCTGCGGATGAGATTGACCATGAAGCATGCGACTACGATGTTGATGGGAACTAAAAACATTTGTCGCATGTAGTTAAAGACAATAATCTCGGCGCGGTGGCTTCTATGGACCCTCGCCCCATCCCTCTTGGGCTTTTTTCTACTCCGCGGAGGGAAAACTCAACCCTTGAAGGTTGGAAATATGATGCCCATGGAAAATACCAATCTTCTTCAGTTCAGAAAAGACTAATCGCCGTGGGTTCCCCAGGAACTTCTCTCACCCCCACCTGAATATCGAAGTCTAACCAGTGAAAGGGAAGAGCGAGCCAGGCCCACTCTTATATTTATTTGGGTCAAGGTTATCAAGGGGGATGTTTAATGCATATAATATACACCGGCGGTAATGCCTAACTTACCGGCGGGGGAGAAGACCGCCAACGACCGCATCAGCTTCAGAGGAGAGCGAGGGGGGGGGAGAGAGAGAGAGAGGGAGAGAGAGAGAGAGAGAGAGAAGAGAGAGAGGGTTTTCGTTGATGTGGTTTCTAGTCTGAAAGAGGGGGAGGATAGGGTGGTTGAATCAGATTGTGTGAAGAACACGACGGGAAAACTATATAAAAATAAGGAAGCTGGTGGGATCGCTCTCTATTTAACGAGGTTTCCTCCTTCAAACAAGAGGCCACCCAAGTATCCTACTTTCTCTCTCTCTCTCTCTCTCTCTCTCTCTCTCTCTCTCTCTCTCTCTCCCCCTCGCTCTCTATCTATCCATCCGTCTGTATATCACTCCGTTCTGAAACCATGATGAAGTGGATAACGGTGATAGTTGTGCTGGCCGTTATTCCGGTGATGTGCTCCGGAGACTGCCTAAAAATCGGGTTCTACGATAAAACGTGCCCGTCTGCGGAGAAACTGGTACGCAAGGCGGTTGCCTCCGTCTTTGCCAGCAACCCGGGAATTGCCGCCGGACTCATTCGCATGCACTTCCACGATTGCTTCGTCAGAGTAAGCATTCTCCACCTTCTCTCTCTCTCTCTCTCTCTCTCTCTCTCTCTCTCTCTCTCTCTCTCTCTCTCTCTCTCTCTCTCTCTCCCTCTCTCTCTCTCCCTCTCTCTCTCTCTATCTATCTATCTATCTCTATCTATCAATCTATCTATCTATTTATCTATCTGTATATCTATCTACATAAATATCTCTATTATTCTCTCCTACTCACTCTTGCTCCCCCACCTCCCTCCCTCGATCTTCTTCTTCCATTTATGTGACCCGATTCCCGGCCGCATGCACTTCATCCGTGTCTCAATCGACTTAGCCTTCAGAGCTTGACCGCTGATCTCATTCCCAGGGCTGCGACGCCTCGGTGCTCCTCAACACCACCCCGGGGAACCCCTCCGAGAAGGATGCGCTCCCCAATCTGAGCCTCCGCGGCTTCGAGGTGATCGACGCCGCTAAGGCGGCCATCGAGGCCGCGTGCCCCGACGTCGTCTCCTGCGCTGACATCCTCACCTTCGCCGCCCGTGACAGCGCCGCCCTCGCCGGCAACATCTCCTACCAAGTCCCCGCCGGCCGCCGGGATGGCGTCGTCTCCAACATCTCTGAGGTCAACCTGCCTTCCCCGTTCGCTAACGCCAGTGATCTCATCCGACGCTTCGCCCAGAAGAACCTGACACCCGACGAGCTGGTCACCCTCTCTGGCGCCCACTCCATCGGGATCTCCCACTGCGGGGCCTTCCTCAACCGGATCTTCCGGAACGGTAGCAGCCAGATCGACCCGACTCTGAGCCTCTCATACGCCGAGCTGCTGCAAGCCAAGTGCACGCCCACACCGTTGGCTAATACCACGGTGAGGCTGGACCTGATCACCGCCGACGTCCTGGACAACAAGTACTACTTGGGGCTTGAGAATAATCTCGGGCTGTTCACCTCAGACCACGCTCTGACGACGGTGGCCGCCCTCAAGGCGGCGGTAGAAGTCAACGCCAGGAACCCTGCTGTGTGGGCAGAGAAGTTCAAGCGCGCCTCGGTGAAGATGGGGCGCATCGAGGTGCTTACGGGTAAGGAAGGCGAGATCCGGAAGCAGTGCAGCGTCATTAACAGCCGCCCCCGTTTGGCCGTGGAATAAACTCTCTCTCTCTCTCTCCCTCTCTCTAAGTCGGGCGTGTAATCTCTACAACTCGTGTACGTGTACGTGTACGTGTATAGTATTGGAAGAATACTCGGTTGTGGTTGAAAAAGTCGTATTTGTCAAATAATCGTCTTGAAAACATTTGTTTCCGTAATTCAGATTATCTTCTACTTTATGTTATTTGATAACAAAGCAGTTGACTTTTTTTTAAAAGCTTGAAAGTGGGGGCCTACCAAGGTCTGTTTGCATCATCGTTTCTACAAGATAACAACATTATGTCCTTTGTTATGCTGCACCAATATTGCTCGTTCACCGCCATCAAACTGATAAATTGCAATGATTCTGAAGTGTATAATATGCGATTAAAATTTTCTGATTATAATATTTCCTTGCCTCAAATATCACAATTGTCATTTTTCCTTTTCTCAAGAGATGACCTGTTTTTGGTGAAACAAATTAGGCTCAAGTTTAATATTTGCCCTGAAATTGGGCTTTCAATGCTTCCCTAGTATTTATGGGCAATCATACCCAACACTTTTTGCCAACCTTGTCCAATGTAAGAGCATTGAATAAACATTTTAAGAACCAACCAAAGGTTGTTGCAAAAAAGGGAATCAAAATCGAGTATGCATCTATGACAAATAAAATAATGAAGTCAATATACTAATTCCATTAGTGAAGTTGACATTTGAAAACCTGCAGGATGTATCTTCTTTGAGCTTGAGTTTTTTAACAGATAATGCACTTAAAACAGGCCATTTGCTCAGCAAGTACTCTCCACCCTCCCAATTGTCGTTGACCTTTCTTCCCTTATTTTGACAACCTTTCCTATTAAAGTCTGCATTATCATTAATATAAGAATCAAATGACAAGTTGAAATAATCATGAGTGCATATATATGCATAGCAATCAAGAGATATAGAGAGAGAGAAGATGACATTGTAAATGACATATCAAAATGATTTTTAATCTATTTGAGACCACCCATTGTAAAGATAATTGAAATAAAAACTTAATATCATAAATGACATATGAAAATCAAAATAATTTAATCTTTTATGATTTTTAAAATATTATTGAGTTTAGAATTTTGGTCGAGGAAAAATGACCAACATTTCTTACCCATATGATTAAAATGTTTTTTAGTTGTAAGACTGTGTAATAGATATGGGCACAAGATATGCACCTATAGCTGATCTGAAGAGTAATTCAATGGTTAAAATTCTTATGAATATTACAACTTTACCAAACAAATTTATGTAATTTGTAATCATCCACATGACCCAATAAGGACTGATCAACTGGCCATTGAGTTAGCTGTTTGCTCTTGAATATAATAAAAAAAGCTTTTTCCCAAACTATTCTCAAGAGCAAAAAGTAAAAAAGAGAAGGAGAAAGGCAAAAGTCATCTAACTATGAAATCAACTATATTCTCAAGACAAGAATAGTGGTATTAAGAGAGTGATCTTGGAAATGGATGTAGGCCGAAGATACTAGAACCATGATAACAGTTGGTGTCACTATCTCTATTTTTATATCTGAGTTGATCCATCTTAAGAGAATTATTAGAAGACAAAAGCTGTTGGTTACTCAACTAGTAACTTAATAATTACTATCATAACTTACCTAAAAAATAAATCTTACCATCATAAGGAATAGATTCATGGCTAGTATGTTCAGATACTAAATTCCTGAATGTCAACCAATCCACATACTTCAATTATTTGTAGGAACAAACTACAATTATTGGAAGTAATGAATGAAGATATTTACTAGATCATTTGATATTGATGCTTAGAGTATTGTTGAAAATGATCCCTATAAAAATGATGCTGACAAATTATTATACATTAAATAATAGAGTGATTAATTTTTTACAATGCATAGTAGAGGTAAATAAGCTTAATCATATTTTTTGATCCAAAATAACTAATTAATTTCACAAAAACTTGAAGTAATCTATGAACAAACTTAAGAAGTTACAGTAAAAAGATTTATTTTCTAGTTTATTGGTATGAACTATTGTCTATGATTGACATGATTTTGTTAGAGGTATATTCAGCAGATTTACATATCATCAATGGGTTTAAAGATTTAGGTAAAACTTACAAAAAAATAAAATGAACATAAAAATACTTAGATCCTTAACTTCTTCTTGTGAACCCAAGGTGCTTGTGTCACAGAAGAAGTAGTGGCACAACAGACCCACAAGGGGCAACTAGCAGTCGTGACAAGGCAGGCTCATGTGGTAGGACAAGCACGCGGGGTGCACGCAACAAGGTGGGCACGCGCAGCATGGGAGGCACACGTGGCACGACAGATGCGCATGGCGCAGCAGGCACACGCGACATGGCAGCAAGGCACAATATCACATGACCCAAGATGAAATGGGTCCCTAGACATACAAAACCCTCAAAGGAGGCAAGAAGATAAATACACCCATGCAATGGCGGGAATGTAGGCCCAAGGGAAGTCGCGGACATAGACAAGTAGGATGACGCCCAAGCAGGCGCAATGATTGATGCAACGGTTGGTAGGGTGCCCAAGGTGCATCAACGACTAGCAAGGAAGACGACCGTTACGTCCAACAACTAGTCTGAACACCCTACAATGGCTAGTCTACTCCCCCTTCTCCCTTATAAGCAAGGAAGGTGGGGAGCGGACGGGAGAGAGACCCCTTTGTGCTTTACTGAATATCAGGAGGGTTAGCTGGAGAGCAAGTTTTGACTATCCAATACCACATCTCACTTGAGGTGTAACAGTGGTATCAAAGCCATGGGAGAGAGGGGGCAAGGCCTACGCATTGTGCGACTAGAGCAGAAGCTGCAGTTCACATGAGAATCCAAACATTTGAAAAGACGTTCGAAGGAAACATGCCAAAGCTCCACGAGATGATGGTTGATGGAGGAACACTCAAATGAGAGGCATGAGCGACTAGAGGAACACATCCAGTCGACAAACAGGAGGGTCGAAGAGCTTCAAAAAGAATCCACGAGCAATTCTAGTGGGGGAAAACCTCCCACAACGGAGGAGCACTTCATAGCCTTCAATGAGTGACTCCATCAATAGGGGAGTAACGCCCACATGGGGGGTTGGAAGGGAATTGCCCTTCCACCACCTAAGCCGTTCTCAAGCTAGAGAGACATGACCAAGGTTGATACCTTTTTGTGGGAGGTAGAGAACTACCTCAAAGATCACGATTACACAGATGTAGAACGTCTTGAGATCGCCGCACGATTCCTTGAAGACTCGGCAGCCCTATGGTGGCGGGCAAAGAGAGAAGATGTACCAGAGATGTGGGAAGACTTCAAGACCTCCCTCAAGCGATACTTCAGACCCTCAACTCGATTGTTCAAAGTGGTGTCTGAGTTGATAATGCTCAAGCAAAGGGGCTCTACACGAGAATACATGCAGAGATTCTTGATGCTATTGCTTGACATCCCCATGATGCCCGAAGAGCTTAGGATAGAATTCTTCCTAGTCGAACTACAACCATAGGCAAGGAGAGAATGCCTCAAGCACCATGCCGACACCCTGAATGAAACGTGTAGGATTGTGAAGAGCCTCTAAGACTACTATCGCAACCAACCTATCTCAGAAGCTGTCTCGAGGGGCCGTAGCAGACAACATGACTAGGGGAATGGACAGCAAGGACAAAGAAGAGGACGTATTAGTCAGACGACTCAGGCACTACTTGACCCAACCCGTCCAAGGATGCGAAAAGATCGTACGGAACGAGCTGCTTCAACTATGGAGGACCACATAGGAACTGGGACTACCCAAGCTTCAACAAGGGGGCACAGTTGAATATCATCCAATAGGGCAATGACGAGGAGGAAATCAAGGAAGGCATCAACTCGTTTGAAATTATCAATTGCCTGCAACCAATACAAAGGCAATCAGAAAAGAGCCTAGTGTATGTCGAAGTCGAAGCTGATGAAGAAACTGTTGCAGAAATGGTGGATAGTGGTGCCACGAGTAATTTTATTTCTCTTGAAGAAGTCCAGAGAATTGGCCTCAAGGTGGAACCCACCAAGACAAGATTCAAGGCAGCAGACTCCTCTACGCAATCACTGATAGGAGAGTAAAAGGGGTGCACACGAAGGTGGGGAGGTGGGAGGGCCACCTAGATTATATGGTGATGTCGCCTACTTCCTTCGACACCTTACTGGGCATGGACTTCTTGACGAGGGCAGTTGCGGGAGTTTTTCCAATGGAATGGCAATCCAAATGATGGAAGACCACACTTCGTCTCAACTATTGAGGTAAACCCTGCAAAATATCATAAACTAACATAGGACAACATGATCTCGACGCAACAAGTACAGAAAGGACTAAGGATGGGAGAGGAGACCTTCCTACTGACTGTCTAGACCAGCCCAGGAGCAGAGCAAATAATGATCTTCCTTGAAATTCAATGACTACTAACGGAGTTTACTAACAAGTTGCTAGAGAAGCTGTTAGCCAAACTATCACTAAGGAGAGGGGTGGGTGGACCATGCTAAAGAGCTAGTCCCAAGGGCCAACCCTACAGCACATGCGCCATACAAGATGTTGTCACACCATCTTGTAGAGTTGTGCACTCAAATCTAAAGCTTATTGGAAGTAGGACACCTTCAATCATCTAAGTCACCGTTCGGTGCACTAATACTATTCCAAAAGAAGAAGAACATAAGCCTTAGGCTATGTGTGGACTATAGAGTCTTGAACAAGCTCATGATCCACAACAAGTATCCAGTCTCAAATGTTGAAGATCTATTTGACCGATTGGGGGTGGCAAAGATATTTTTAAAGCTAGACCTTAAGAGCGGATACCACCAAGTGCGAATCTGGGTAAGAGACAAACCCAAGACAACATGCATAACCCAATAGAGGTCATTTGAGTTCACAGTAATGCCTTTGGGGCTTACCAATGCCCCCTTTTGTACTTTAATGAATTTCATCTTTCAATCATATTTGGATCTGTTCATGGTGGTCTACTTGGATGATATACCAATCTATCGTCGCAACATGCGGGAGCATCTCAACCACTTGTGCACAGTATTAGAACTACTTTGAGAGAACAACCTATACTTGAACCCTATCAAATGTAATTTTACTAAAGAGAAAGTGGATTTTCTAGGGCACATCATCGGCAAAGAGAAAGTACATATGGATGGAACAAAGGTAAAAGCCATCAGAGAATGGACAACACCCCGAAGTGTTAAAGACCTACAGTCATTTTTAAGGCTGACCAATTATTACAGAAGATTCATAAAAGGGTTCTCTTGAATTGTGACCCTCTTGACCAATCTTTTGAGGAAGGCTAAGGACTAACAATAGGCTCTAATGTGCATAGAAACTTTCAACAAACTCAAGGAGACAATCTTGTCAAAACCTCTCCTCCAACTACTAGATTTTGGTAAGCCATTTGTCTTATATACTGATGCTAATAGTGAGATAGTGGGGGGAGTGCTCAACCAAGAAGGCCGTCCGGTGGCTTTCGAAAGTTGGAAGTTAAATAGTGCCAAGCAGAACTACCTCATCCACGAAAGAGAGATGACATTGATCATCCACTATTTGAGGATATGGTGGCATTACTTGTTGGGTAGTCAATTCACTATATTTACTGATAATGTGGCAAACACTTCTCATCACAGCCAAGACTCACAAGCAAGCAAACAAAATGGCAACAATTCTTGACGGAATACAATTTTGACATCTATCATAACCTAGTGGCCCAAAACGTCATGACTGATGCCCTCAACCACAGGGCAACGACAATAGAGAGATCAATGCGGCCAATACAATAGAATCAACCATGGATCTACTACAAGTTAGGATGATATGTGAATAGGACTTCTACGCTTAGAAGATGTTCACTCACATTCAAGCTGATACAACACGGTGGTACTGGTTTGAGGATGGGTTGATATTCATAAGGGGGCAGTGATATACATCCCAACAATTGAGGACCTCCGACGAAAGCTAACAACGAAGGCACATGACACTCAGTTGTCGGGACACCCAAGTCAACAACGTACTTTGGCTGTACTAAGTAGAGACTACTTCTGCCCAATGATAGAGAATGACGTAGAAGCCTACGTTGACTCATGCATAATCTACCAGCAAGACAAAACGGAATGGCGCCGTCTAGTAAGATTGTTGTAATTTTTGCATATTTTAGAGGTACCATAGCACACCATTACCCTTGACTTTATCATTAACTTGTTGAAGAATGAGGAGGCCGACTCCATACTTGTGATCGTTGATAAACTCACGAAGTACGGGATATTTGTGGCTACCAATCGGCACTCCTTGACCGAGGAAGCATCACAATTGATTATTAAGCATGTGGTCAAGCATTGGGGACTATCCTGAAGGATCATATTTGATAGAGATGCACACTTCGCCGAAAAATTATGGAAGGTCTTGTTCACTAAATTAGGAACACAATTACATTTCTCCATAGCATATCATCCACAGACAAATTGTCAAATGAAATGCATCAACAATATGTTGGAGGAATATCTTAGACACTATGTCTCGACAAAGTAAGACAAATGGACAGAGCCATTGGATTTAGCACAATTAGTGTACAACCTCCAACGAAGTAGTGCCACGGACTACTCTCCCTTCGAGCTAGTCATGGGCCACCAACCTTTGATGCCCCTCCAACTATTAGACGCCCCTAAGAAGCACCACGCAGCCACCAGACTCATGACAGAGCACATGGACATGCTAGAGACAGCAAAGGACAATCTCCAGCAAGTAGTGAATCAAATGAAAAAGTAGGCGGACAAACACCGACGAGAAGTCAAGCTTCAGCTAGGGGACAAGGTGCTACTTCCGATGAATCTTGAGATTCATCGATGCATGAAAGATACTACCAAAAGTCGAAGCTTACTTCCACAGTTTGAAGGGCCTTTCACCGTCTTGGAGCGAATTGGCTTAGTAACATAAAGAGTACAGCTACCCCCAAGGTTGTCCATACACGATATTTCACGTATCATTATTGAAGAGATACAAAGCCGACCAAAAGAACCCAAAAAGGAACAAAGCCATGCGACAACCTCCATCAGTCATAACAGCCTTCTCAAAGGAAATAGGTGATATTCTGGCCCACAAGTTCACCAATGGAGGTGGCCACCACAATGTGCAAAAGCACACCGAATTCCTCATATGATGGGAAGGTGACCCATGGAAAGCGACAACGTGGTACAACAAGAAGGACCTATGGCAGTTTGAGGAACAACTTGTCAAGTACACCACAAGCCACCCGACAAGGACGTTAGACTCTCCAAGGGGAGAGAATGTCACGGAGGAAGCAGTAGCACAACAAACCCACAAAGGGCAATTGGCAGCCGCGACAAGGTAGGCTCACCCAATGGGACAAGCATGCAGGGCACACGCGGCAAGGTGGGTGTGCGCAGCACAACAGATGCGCCCAGTGTGGCAGACGCACACAGCACAGTGGGCACAAGTAGCAAGGCGGAGGCATCGGCACAACGGGCGCACGCGGTAGGGTGGGCGCATGTGGCATGGTAGCAAGGCGTGGTATCACATGACCTAAGATGAAATCAGTCCCTAGACATATAGAACCCCCAAAGGAGGTAGGAAGACAGATATACTTGTGTGATGGCGGGAACGCAGGCCCAAGGGAAGTTGCAGACACAAACAAGCAAGATGACGCCCAAGCAAGCACAACAGTCAGTGCAATAGTCAGCAAGGCGCCCGAGGCGCACCAACGACTAGCAAAGAAGACAACTGTTATGCCCAACGGCTAGTTTGAACACCCTGTAACAACTAGTCCACTCCCCTTCCCCCTTATAAGCAAGGAAGGTGGGGAGTGGACGGGGGAGAGACCCCTCTGTGCTTTATTGAATATTAGGAGGGTTAGCTGGAGAGCAGGTTTTGACTATCCAATTAGCTAAATATATATTCACCAGATTTATATATCATCAATGGGTTTAAAGATTTAGGTAAAACTTACAAAAAAATAAAATGAACATAAAAATACCTAGATCATTAACTCCTTCTTGTGAACCCAAGGTGCTTGCTATTGAGGAAGCAAATAATATTATATAGACCACGATATGTGTTTACATATGAAATTAGATTGTCCATTAAAAATACATATAAAGGAAATCATAGCATATTCCAATTAAAATGATGGTCAAACATATTCCAATTAAATGATGAGAAAGATATAGCTCTCCTCTCCAAGAAACTTCAAAATTGAAGAAGAAGAAAATTGTTAAATTCAAGTAGACTTTTAAAGATGAAGTTGTGTTTTGAACACAAGAAAAGTGGTTACTTTAGAGCTAATTGTCTAAGGATAGAAAAGAAGGAATTCATATGAAAGAAAAAATCACTTTTGACTATATGTTGTCAGAATTTATGACGTACTTGGACCAAGAAGGGGGGTTAAATTGAGTGGATTCTAATTTTGATTTGGGTAAATTTCTTTCTAATCTCTTTGATCTTCTTTCTCTTACCTTCATCTTGTGACTTTCATAGTTCAAAATATCAAGTACACTAAAAATTACTAGTTTAGACTCCTACCTATGTCCACTCTCTAAGATCATCTTATTCTTATGTTCCATTAAATCAATGTTCACCCCCCTCCCCCCCCCTCTTGATTTGCCTACCTAGTCAATTAATAACTCAAAAATTAATCTCCTTTATTTGGTCTAAACTTTTAGTCACATAATAATCTCAAATGACTTACAACATGAACCAAGAGGGAGGTGAATTGAATTCTTTTAGGTCAAAAGATAATCTAACTTGGTTTAAGAAGGTATATTGAAGAAAATTGAATTATTTTTTATGCAAATTGACTGTTTTTTAATTAGAACAAAGATATTGAGGCTTATAGTGGTTCAACTCCCAGTTTTACTTTCCAAAGATATATTCTTTATGCTTCATGACTCCTAAAAGCACATGTTGAACACACTATATGCCTATCCTTATTTAAGACTCTAGTAAACATACCACCAGAGATTAGGTGCTGCCTTCCTATTTTAGGTTAGAAGGGTCTAAAAACTCCATGTGTTCTTAGTAAGAGATTTAACATCATACCTATATATAGTGATTGTATTCTATATACTATAATATGCCTCATATGTTAATATTTGAGTGCATTGTGTTAATAATATTCTAGATTGTATATTAGATATATATTGCAACAAAAATTCTATATTCTAATATATGCTTCTTCATAATTTGACTTATCCATAATGTAATGCATTCATATATGTTACAACATAAAATTCATATATGGACTCTATGTTATACATTATATGGAAACTTACATTAAACCATAAAAGTCATATATTTTGATATTATGACTATATTGTATTGTTTTGCACTATAATTTCTTAGGTATTAACATATGAAGCTTGATTTATTATATTTTTCCACAATGTAATTCCTATACACTAAAAGGAAGATGTATTATCATTTGGCAACATATATTGAAATATGAGGCTTCTTTACTATTCATACATTGAAATATGTTGTCTACTACATTGCAATATTATAAAATGTAAAAGAAAACTCAAATACAAGTATTTATATATCTCATTATTCAAGTTCTAGTATACAAGTTAAGGTTTTAATATATTGTCTTATTTCACAACATAAACTTGATATAATGAAACATGAAGTTACAAAGTATGATATTCTAGAGCATGGAATGCACATTGTTTTGATGATAAAAAATACTCAAAAGATTAATTGAAAGAATGAATTATAGTTTTTGCTTCTTATAATTGATGATGCATCAGCATGAGTTTAATTAAACATAAAAAAACTCAAAGTAATAATGTCATATATCTATAAAAGATTTTTAAAAACATAGTCCTGCCTTATAATATTCAATTTTGAAATTCAATAGATTTAATTAAGTGAAATTATTATTTCTACATTGTTCTGAAAATGATCAATATTTATAAAAATTATCACTATGAGAAAGTAATAATTATAACATCTAAATTTGCAAGGATCTTTGAATAAAATATGAAAACTTACTATACGATCGTAATCTTACATCGTTAATTTCAAATGATTTTAATGAAAATTAAAATATTGATTTTTATTACTACATAGGATCTTTAAATTTTATTGAATATTATTTTAATATTATATATCACCGAAGTTAATTTTACATGATGAGATTGTGATTTAATTTTACTTGACATCACGCTTTTTTTAAGGTGATTCTTATAATTTCTTAATGCCAAATCATTATTTTATGTAGATGTTATTAGCAAATTCTATTGTACCAATAACGGGTTATTACCAGACTTTATCGAAAAAATATACTTCAAATATACACATTGGTGCTTAATGATAACACATACTGATTTATAATAGAAGATATCCAAAAGCATAAAGCTCATGTTATATTAGTTTTTAGTTGTTCTAACTTCTAGCTAATTTTTTGGAATTTAAACATTACAAGACAATGAAAAATAGAGGTTTTTAATTGAGATTTGTCTATAAATTCACCAGCTCTCCTATAGCTAATTAGTTTTGAATAGTCATCTTTGGCATGTCTATGATTTCAATTTTTTTGACATCTTCTGGATAAATTTTTATGTGAATTTTAGAGGTTGGAGTTTCTTAACTATTCTTGGATCACTAAATTGTTAAGAACTATGGGAAAAACACTATTATATAATAAACATTCTCCCCACATCAAGGATGAGGAAATATTCAAAGATTGACGCAACTAATTTCTCTTGAGCATTCAACAACCTCTATCAAGACATTCTTACAACCTAGGCCTAGTAATTCACACCACAAGAAGATACCTACCAAATCTATAAGAGCACTAACTCCTGATTTATTCTTGAATACTTGAGACTCTAGGCAACCTAGAGTTATGAATCCAGAAGAGATTAACTATATGTTAATCTAGTTAGCCCCCTAGAGCTGTGATTCTATAATAATAGTTTCTAGGAAACATGGGTTAACTAGAGTCAAGAAATGTAATAGACCCTAGATGAAGTCTTTTTGTACAGCTTTAATTTTATATTATATAGGTGACTATATTATAAAATCAAGTTTCATAATTGAGATAAAAAATGAAAATCTAAAAGTGAAAAAAGATCAATTCAACCCTCATCTTAGTCCATGCATGCAGCCTCCTTAAAACTAATACTTGAGAGACCTCTAGCCTTTATAAAGTTGTCAATTGAGAATGATGAGCTACCATTAGAAAAATAGTATTTATGCCCCTAGGGTGAAGAATAGAATAGCTTGATATTGATATAGTTGGACCCTAAGAGCTAAAAATCTACGAACTTAATAAAGAGGCTAGATGAGCTTGACCTACTGAAATGTAAATTCAGATGCAAATGTTTTCGGTGCACTTAACTTTGCTAGTGGTAAATCTGGTGATGGAAAGAAAATATCATTGTACTCACCATTTGTTCTAGTATGAGGTTAGGGGAACCAAAGGATTTGCTCTCTATAGAGTAAGGTAAGCCTAAAGAGCTAAACCACAACAAAAATTGCCATTCATGTTTAGACTCTACATTGACTCACCTTATTTTCTCAAAACAATTTATATTTAAATATCATTTAATAAGCTTGTAAGAAGATAAATTCACCTTATAAATGAAATGCTTACAACACTTACATACAATAAGAGACTTTCATAACTAAGAACACATATGAAAAATGAATAAATAAATTCAATAGATTTGTGGTGTGATACATCCTCTGGTGTGGAGCTATCATATTGTAGATTTAATATTTTAATATATATAATTTTCAGGTAGATTATTTATGTTTCAATGCCAAAATAAAGATTGTTCATGGGAATAAGTTCCATAGTGGTAACGTTATGGTGTTGACCTTATCTACAATTAATGTACCTAATCCATCTCCTTTCAATATTTGATGGATCATTTAACTTAAAGTGAACGTCTCAGTTATAGTATTTTGTAATATTTTAATTTCTGTGTCAAATCATAGAAGATTTTCCATAATCCATAAACTTCCTATGTCAATAATTAATATAATATTTTTTTTCGGGATGAGTTAAATCATAAGAGTTTAGATAAATGAAGTGCGTACTTTTCTAAACTTATTTATGCTCAGCAATTTATTTTTTTTGAAGCACTTTAGTCAAGGCGTTAAAGATACTGGTAGATGTGAAAGGACCAAATTGCCCTGCAGAAGTCTGTTGAAGCAGTGGAGTTCGGATTTGACCGTTGGATCCGTCGATGGAAAGCCCCCACTGCAACGGGCGACCTTCCGTTTGGCCCCGAGCGTTTCTTGTCGGACGGTGGTCCGTCTCTCTCTAATAGGGTTTTCGGAGCGGCGCCGGTTCCCCCGCTGCAGCCATGGCACCGTCGTCGTCGTCGGGATCCGTGGTGACGGTGGGGGGGAAGGGAGGAGCTCTCACCTCCTCCGCTGTCTACTCCGTCTCGCGAGGGCTGGCTGGGACCAGGATCGACTCCGCCGCCTTCGAGAAGCTCTCTTCCCAGACGAAGAAGAGCTCCAGACTCTCTTCTCTACCTGAGCCCCCTTCGGCCGATGGCAGCAGATCGGGGAGGTTTCTCGCAGAGGAGGAGGCTCGTGCTGCTCTCGTTGTTCTCATGCACAAGCTTGCCCTCTCTGACGGCGCAGGTATCCGGCCCGTCATCCCTGCCCTCGTCGAGGAGGTGTTCGACCTGGACGGAGGCCATGAGACGCTTGATTTTGGGTCGGCTCTGGGGTTTCTGTTGTCGCTCTGCCGACTGAGGGGGAAGAAGGTGGAGGACGTTGGTATCACGGCTGAAGAGATTGGAACCTTGGACGGTTCCTTGATCTCCGCCTCGGCTGGTGTTGCGGCGATATTGGATTCCGCTTCCTCGGTTTTCACCACGTTATTAGATGCTGTGGCGGCGCTTTCCTGCGAGGCGGCCGGGGCTGATGTTGCGGCGGCATTTGATTTGCCGGCATCTGGTGACGGTTTCTCAGTGAAGGACGAGACTGATGTCGCCGGAGACATGAAGGTGATATTGTTCGGGTCAAAGTTCACTGGTCGTCTTGCTACGGAACATTTCACGGGGATCCCTGCTGTTCATGCCAGCTTCAGGAGTGCCGTGAGGACGCTGCACGGTAGAACTCGCGTCGTGTTGAACTCCTTGATTAGATCGCGGAAGAAAGACGCAGACCCCTGGAACCATGGCCGAGAGACGGCATTGGCTAGCTTGGCTTTGCCGCTTTGTTTGGCAGCTCGGGCAGCAGGAAAGAGCAGTCTGGGTCGTGCGAGGTCTACAATTGCCGCACTTGGTGATCCTGGCCTACGCTCGAGCGTTTCTGAGGTATTTGAAAAAAACTGTCCAAACTTTGATGCGTTGAGGGATGGGTGCCAGCTGGTCTCAACAAAAGCCGCTGATGAAGCAGACGACGTCGAAGTCCTGCATGAAGCTCATGAGTTGCTGCTTACGTTACGGAAGATTCTTGCATGGGAGGCTGCACTTGCGTTGTTTGTGATCGAGAGGGACGAGTCCTTTGATAAAACTCAATCAGAACCCCTTTCAAATGTTGAGTCAAATGGAGGGGATGCAAAGGGCGACAAGAAGAGTGAGAAGAAGAAAAAGAAGAAGACCTTAGGGCGTGGAACATCTGTGATACGGCAGCGCATGCTCGCATTCGTCAATGGGGCACCTGATAATTCCTCTGTTCTCGGTAATTTGGCCAAGGATTTTCTTCTGTACTTCGACCCCAAGTGTACAAGCCTTCATCACCTGCTAAGAGATGTGAAAGAGATTGTTGAAAGCAACGAGATTAGAAGACTTCCGAAAATTCCCAAGGTGCCTTTCACTAACTTAGGTTTATGCCAAATGTTCGTTTTTCCAGTTTTTTATGGCGTTTTTTTACTGTTAATGATCTTCCCCTTTGCTTCTATCAATAAACCAGGAAATTCCTAACAATTCCCACTGGAATGAATTCAAAAATCTTCTGCACCCGGAGGGCAACCAGCTTATATTTTTAACATGTTGGAGCTTAAAAACGTGGCATCATCTTTCAATTCATAATACTATTTATTGAAAGCACATTTTTCTCTTGATCGCCGCTTGTTATCAGTTAACCTATTTTTTACTTTATTTCTCATTTTGAGTGTTAATCTATTTTTTTGCCATCTTACCTTCTACGTTAGTTCATTCAATGCCTAGGCAATGAGGCAATATCTAAGGGCAAGGTGCCTGAGTACATAGGGCAGACCTATTCAGATGATCACTTTGGTCATCCTAGTGCTGCCGCAGTTACCCTTGCTTGTCACTCTAACCGACCTATCAGGAGCCCTATTTATAAAATAATTTAAGATGATAGAATATAACACAATTTTCCTTCAATGGTGTGTAAAAGACAAAGGCTATCAATTGGAGTATATTGAAAATCTAGGCACGTCACCTCATCTTTCAGTTCAAAATCATTGATCCCAACATGCAGAAACAATGTGTTTGAGTAGTCACACATTCGAAAAATTGAAATTAAATTGTGCAGTTTCATAGATGATCTTCCTCCACTCCTTATTAGTTATTTTCGTTTGGTTGTCAATTACCCCTGTATCACTTGTGCTGTGCGCACACTAGCATTTATGCTATCCACGCAGCAAGGCCCTGGCTTGCGTGTGGATTGGCGTTTTGGAATGGTCCCTCCTTTGGAAACCTATAAGCTTGTAATTATTTAGATGGTCCCACCAATGTTCTTACCCCAAGATTGTGAAGTATATTGCCAATAATAGAAGGACAATGTTTACAAAGTCATTGATATTAGGTGCCAACCTTTGCGTGTTGCAGAGAAACAAATTTTTATATAAAAACGAACTCGTACAATGTGGATTTACTTTTCAGCAACTTCCTCAAACACTCGTATAATTAAATAAACTTTGTATGAGATGATCTAGACCTTTTATATAATTTAGATACGTTTAGATTATACTTTTCATTTGTATCTTTGGTAACCACAAGTTTTGGCTAAGTCAGACACCTCATTGTACAAGCAATAAGGCATTTGGTTCCCTCCGTAGTAGACTTTATGGCCTAATGTTATTCCCTCGTTACCCATTATGAGTTTTCTTCCAGGCTGTTATGGTGAACTTGTAGTAAAATTTATCATCTGTAGAATAATCAGCATATACTTACCTTTTCTGTTTCCTTCATGATTAATGGCTTCTAATATTTTTTCTTACATTTTTATTCGTTAAATGCATTTTTAGTTTTCTGTATATTTTAATAAAAAAGTAAAAACTTCTTTGTCAACAGGGTACTCGTGATTTTGGCAAGGACCAGATGGCCATCAGAGAACGGGCATTTTCAATCATTATAGATGTATTCAAAATGCATGGCGCGACAGCTCTTGACACTCCTGTGTTTGAATTAAGAGAAACACTAATGGGAAAATATGGAGAAGATTCAAAATTGATTTATGATCTTGCTGACCAGGTTTGCAGTTCATTTGCGATTATCTATCAATTCATGACATTTAAACCTTACAAAAAAATGAACGTTCATTGCGTTTCTTTTGACTGAGTTTGAGATGGCCTAAAGCTCTTGTTTTCGTTTTTTGATAAACACTAGATTAGGTATGGGTATCTTGTTCCATTGTTTATTGATAGCCAGTTGTCATCTCTAGACTCTTAATCTTTTTTCCTACTCCAGTATTTGGGCGGTTGGCTTTTATTTTATGTCAATGGTTATATTAGTTCGTCTTCTTCTTAAATCAAATGAATCGCCCTAAAACTAAAGTGCGTCGGATATACAAGGTGAATCCTTGTTTTTCCATTATTCATCCTAGTAGCTTTTTTATTTCATTGTTTTTGGGTTTTTTTTTTCAATTACAATAGTCTTGAACAGGTCGTGACATCAGCGTTTCCTTATTAATTGGAGTATGAGTTGTTATCAAAACAAAGAGAAGGACAAGCAATAATTAGAATGGTAGCTGATTCATGTACTTCAATTCATCCTCTTCTCATGTTGTCCTCTTTCTGCATTACCCCATCTCCTCTTACCATAATTAGAATGGTAGCCTTTTTAATTTCTTTACCATATAGGTGTGCTACAATCTGTACTACTTTTTCCTCTATCCATCCTACAGTTCATCCTTGGGTAAGAATTGGTAGCTTTTTCCGAATCTGTCCTTCAATGAGTTTTATGAAAGGAGAAAACCTTCCTACAGCACATTGACTGTAATGGCGTACGCCACCCTCCCTTTCCCAGTGCGCTTGATGGCTTTTTGGAATTTTCAGGATGTATGTGCCTTTTTTGTTTTGGAGTAAAATTTTCTTCTTCGCTGGGATTCATGTCATGGATTTTGCATTTATGACCTTTGTGCGAAACTCCCTCTGACTTCTTATTTTCATCTCAAACCCGAGAACGTGGGTTTAGCCAGTATTTTTCCCCATGTGCTATGTTTTGGCCATAAATTTGGACGACATTTGCAGTAGAATTCTTGTTTTAAAAACTTGATTCTATCTTAATGCAGAATCTAAAGACAATTCACAAAGTATGATTGATAAAGGAAACACTTTATTTTTTCGGAGTCCAATTTGTATGTGGAAATCTTGAAGCATTTTAATATTGGAGGAGAGAAACTGTCTAAATTTCGTTTCTAGAAGATATTTTTACTTAGAATAAAGAAGATCATACTTTCATAGCGTCTCCCATAGAATGTGTAATTCATATTTATGTTGTGTGCAGGGTGGTGAAATTTGCTCGTTACGATATGATTTAACTGTTCCATTTGCTCGTTATGTAGCCATGAATAATATCAGCTCATTGAAAAGGTACCAAATAGCTAAAGTATACAGAAGAGACAACCCATCAAAGGGTAGGTACCGTGAGTTCTACCAGTGTGACTTTGATATCGCTGGCCAGTATGAACCAATGGAACCGGACTTTGAGGTCATCAAAGTCTTGACTGAACTCCTAGATGCACTAAACATTGGCGAATATGAGGTACTTTACTTTCATCCATTACAACTGCAACGATTTATGCCTGTAACCATATTTTCCCTTTTGGTGACCTCTTCTTTTGCAAAGTAAAATATGTTACCGCGCTTTATATCTGAAAACTCTGACAAAAAATTGCATTTATGAAATATATCGGAAATTTGGTAGAAGATTTTCATTTGTTTGCTTGAATTCACAACTTCAATCTGCTTCTATACTGTTTTATTTTCGCCTACTTTGTTGATCCGCGTTTATAAATGCAGGTAAAATTGAATCATCGAAAGTTGCTGGATGGGATGCTTGCAATTTGTGGAGTTTGCCCAGAAAAATTTAGAACAGTGTGTTCAAGCATTGACAAGTTGGACAAGCAACCTTTTGAACAAATAAAAAAGGAACTGGTAAGGGTATAAAATTTAACTTTTTTTAATTTCCTGGAGCTTGGAAAAGGAAGTATTACGGGTGCCAGTTTCTTGTCCCACAGCTAATTAGCCTGACATTGTTCCACTGCCGCATTCTATAATTTCTCTTTAAATGTAAATTTAACTGTTTTCTCTGATGAAGTTTCTCTTCCCCTCTTCTTTTGCGGCTTTTTTTTTTACTCACCCCTGTAAAATTTCATTCTCATTTGTAAGGTCTTAACCCTTTAAGCATCATTTCCTCAAGTATTAAGTCAAGGTTGACCCTCTTGGTATTGTATCCAGATGAAAATTGAAAGATGTGGGATTGTACTAGCTTGGTTGTGACCCATACCGAATCAACTTGGTTTTGCTCTGATTCCTATGAATCATTGCGTGTTAGTTCTCCTGAGAAATCATCATATGATTGAAAATGGTTACGTTTTTGCGTATGTTTATTCACATCAAATACCAATGGAGTATCTTGAAATTCCAAATTGAAACCCAGTTCTCTGAAATTTTAAAATAAAGCAAAACATCATGTAAAAGGTTTCTGAGAAAAGAATTGAAGGTCGGGCTGTGACCTCCCATGCCCATTACTACTTCTGGCCTTTGTCATTTCCATATGCTATGTAAACCAAAGTCCGAGTTGAAATAGTTCAGGCATCTGATTCCCTCCTAGTTAGTTATTGCATCCCTTGTTAGCATCTAAATTTCGTGACTGTTTCCAGTGCATATCAACATGTCCCCTCCCCACAACCTGCTAGAAATTCCTTAGATTCTTATGGACTGGAAGGATACAAATCGAATCGGTTCCCTCGTGGATGTAATTGGCACATTGGCTTCTCTTTGATATCGGGCAGAGGAGACCTCATGTGCCAGAGCCTCGTCCAGTATCCTGTTTATACTAGATTGTTCTTACTGCGACGTTCAGCTTGCTTTCAACATATAATTTTATGTGTTAATATCTTTTGTGTCCCATTTTCATCATCTTGATGTAGCAGAACATTTTTGTCAGGTGGAAGAAAAAGGGTTAGCCGTTGAGACAGCAGAGAAGATTGGTGAATTCGTGAAGAAAAGGGGGAGCCCTTTTGAAATACTGTCATGCTTGAAGGAAGAGGGCAGCCCATTCTTAGAACACGAGGAATCTTCAGCTGCGCTGATCGATCTAGAGATCTTATTCAAAGCCCTGGAGAGGTCAAAGAGCACAGACAAGATAGTCTTTGACTTGAGTCTTGCCCGGGGTCTTGACTACTATACAGGAGTTATATTTGAAGCTGTCTTTAGAGGTGCCACACAGGTAAAGATCTCCATAAATATTGTACTTTAGGAAATTAGAGGTATCATTTTAATGGAAAGAACTCTATAAATATTTTACTTTTTCTGGTACACAAAGGACATTTCATTGCTGAAAATCTTTGCCATTTTAATAATGTCAGTTTTCATCTGTGCAATTCTCATAACTTTCTCAATTCATGGACGGTTCCCTATGTTAAGTGTGTAAACACTCTCCCCCATGGGAACGTTGTAAAAGTCAGCACTCTCCTCCCGCATTGCCAATTTTGAAATACCAAAAAAAATAATGCCCGTCCCCAGAAATTTCTATATTTATTCCGTGAGACGCAAATTGAGCTCCTCAACTAAGATGGGTGTCCTTCTGAGGAGTTCCTTGAAAGGTTTTCTCTTGCTAAAGCTCCTTAGACTAGTAGCTATACTCATTGAAGTCCTCTCTCTCTCTCTCTCTCTCTCTCGCCTAAAGCTGCTCCATAGCTATTTGGATAATTCTTATAAATAAGGAAATTGAAGTTCGTTGAAGTCCTTTTTTTCCCTCATCCGATTCATCAATTTGATGCCTTGTCTGATCTGCCAGTTTTTTCTATTTTTAGGTTGGTTCTATTGCAGCAGGTGGCCGCTATGACAATCTTGTGGGCATGTTCAGCGGAAAGCATGTCCCTGCTGTTGGCATCAGCCTTGGCATCGAACGGGTGTTCACCATAATGGAGCAGCTTGCAAAGGGCCACAATCAGGTGATAGCAGTCGTTATCTCACACTACTGTATTCCACCTTTTTACTATGGAAATTCTTCCTTGATTTCTCTCATGCAAATATATACTTGGAGAGAGAGAGAGAGAGAGAGAGAGTCATAAGAGGCTTTGATCATCAGATGCTACTATAATAAGCATTTAATTAGACACTTGCTAATTCTGGAAAATCTGCCCCTGGATGACGAGGAGATTGTTCTTCTTCACTTTACCCATCAGGCAGTGGTAGTCAGTTTCCACCAATGAGTGTTGTATATTTAGTTCCTTCCTCAAAAAAAAAAAAAAAAAAGACTCTTCTGTTACTACTATAATAAGCATTCAATAGGAGTTCATCTTCGGCTCAATGCTCTTGCCAATTCTGAATATTGATTGATTTTCATGTATGCTCAAGAATGAAAAGATTGGATGGTGACTCCATTGTGGATATTTCTCTCTTTGGCAGTCGGCCCGCGCGACGGAGACCGAGGTCCTGGTAGCGGTGCTGGGCAAGGACCTCCCCCTGGCGGCGGAGCTGGTGAGCGAGATGTGGCGGGTGGGGATCAACGCCGAGTTCAGCATCCACAAGAAGGTGATGAAGCACATCGACCGAGCCCGGCAGTCGCGGATACCATGGATGGTGCTGGTGGGGGAGCTGGAGCTGGAGAAGGGCATCGTCAAGCTGAAGAACATCGAGGAGAGCACCGAGGAGGATGTTCCAAGGGGGGAGATCGTTGAGGAGCTGCTGAAGAGAATGGAGAAGGCAGCTCCGCCGTCGTCGCACCGCCGCCGCCGGGCGGTGGTCTGAGGAATTTGAGGTGAAATTTTGATGGGCTTTTATTCAATTTAAGTCTTCCATATTGGGTATAATCCCATTTGCCACAAAGATTGTTCCTTTTGTTTGTATTTACAGGAACTTCAATCCAATTGGGGAATTTTGTAGCGTCTTGATTCTTCTATACTTGGTGAATGATATAAACTATAATTTGGGTGAAAGGGAGAGAGTAAGAGAGAGAGAGAGAGAGAGAGAGAGAGAGAGAGAGAGAGAAAGAGAGAGAGGGATGCTGTTATGATGCCTGTTAGGGAAATCCAGTTTATATTAGTAAGTTTTTATATGGGTAATTATCACAATGTAAAGATCTACATATTATATTACATTACGTTTGGGTGCTTAGGAAGAGAGGGATCCTGGAGGGATTGTTAGGGAAATCTCGCTTATATTAATGTTTTCATGTGGGTGATTAGGAAGAGAGAGAGAGAGAGAGAGAGAGACTGCTGCATGGGTGATTTGTGAGTGATTAGGGGGAGAGAGAGAGTGTGTGTAGGTGATCAGAGAGAGAGAGAGAGAGAGAGAGAGCTGTCTTCTTGCTATCATAGGATAGTATAATCATAGGGCATCAACCCTCCACAGGTGACAAGATCTCATGAACGCAAGAGGAGAGAGAGTGTCAACTTATGCATCCATCGCCGATTCACTCAGAACGCAAAGGCTGCATATAGGCTCTTCTTCTGCTTCTTCTTCTTCTTCTCTCTCCTCTTCTCTTCTGCAGGGCGAGATCTCCCCCAGCAGCCACCAAGCCATCGGTCGTGATCTCAGGGGCCACCTCCACCCTCAGAGCCCCGGCGGCGCCACCCACCTCCTCTCCCATCGCCAAGCCACCGACAATGATCTCCAGTCCATCTCATCCCTCGGAGCAAGGGCAGCACCGGCAGCATCCACCATCGCCACCGCCAGTTCTCCAGCTCTTCTTATTCTATTCCTCCACAGCTGAGCCGCAGGCGGTGATCTAAGACCCACCTTCTCGACCTTGGAAATTTAGGCCAACAACGGCCCCAGAGCTTCAGCTCTTCCACATTACCAAGCTCGGCAGCAGTTTCCATGGATCCGACCCTGCAATTTGATTAAAAAAGTACAAGAAACTGCCATCAGCTCCAAGAACTATCAAAGAAAGAAAATTATACAAGTAGAAACCAAGATTCAATGCCATCATCGAACTTTACTTAACCCATGTTCTTTGCTGGAAAACAGGTGCTCCACAACCGAGAGAGTGAGCGAGAGAGAGAGAGAGAGAGAGAGAGAGAGAGAGAGAGGGGGGGAGAAGCTGAGGTCAATAATCTGTCCAAAAAATATCTAAAATCAGAGAAATTAGATCTAGACACTTGTATTTTAAGGCATACATAAAAAAACCTGGAAAATCCACTGTAAAATTAATAAATAAATAAGCTCCCAAGATCAACTGATGATGAATAGGCCTGCATTTTTTTTACCAGATAATTAATCTCCCATTTTAAATTAGGATTATCTTAACAAAAACCACACAATCCTTGTAAATTTCATGAAAGATACCTCTTCGTAAACTTTTTTGGCGCAGAGCTTGCTCCACAGACAGTTTCATGCCATTGATCGCCACCTCAGCATGCTCATTTCCTTCTTCTTGGGAGAGAGAAACCCTTCGGCCCCTCTCTCTCTCTCTCTCTCTCTCTCCCCCTCCAACGCACATCCGAGTTTATGTTCCTTAATTACAGCTTAAGTGATGAACAGAAAAATGATCGACCGAATATGCATGAAGTATGCCCATAATAATAAGAAGCAATATCTCTTCCTGCTCTTCAGCTCCACGATCATGAATCGTCTCTAAACTCTCTTTGCCCGGAGCAAATTATCCAGAGAATGATGCGAGATTTCCTGGATAAATAGCCACAAAAACGTCCTCATAGATTGCATTAAAATAGGTCAATTTTCTGCCGTCACTTAAATGAACTAGATATGATTCAAAGTTGTTTATGGGTTTCAGCCTCCCGCATCGCCTTCCGAGGCTCATGAACGCCAGACATATGGGATCGGAAATACATATTATTTCTACAAAATTCATGTAAAGGCAATTTTTTTGATTAATGGCTGCTTGTTCTGGATGCTACCCAGCAATGCCATCATCGAGGAAACCGAGGAGAACCAGAGCAAATGATTGAAAGAACAGAAGGCAGCGATGAGGAGATGAGGAAAGAAATGGCATGTTTGATCAACAATGGAACCCAGATTAACTATTCTCTTGCGGACCATTGTCGTTCTGTTCTAATAGTTCTTCTCTAGAGAAGACTGGTTCTGAGCGCGTACCGATCAAACCAAGCGTCGTCTTTCTGGTGGAAGAAGAGGGGCCCATCTTCGTCTTCTTCCATCCTCTGCCGGCGCTCGAGCCGAATACAAAGCTCACCCTCGCCCGCTCAGCCGAAAGCGGTGCCTTCCTCGTCGCAGAATTCTCGGTGACCGGTGGAGATGGCGTCGTCTCCTCGGCTGCCCATCCCAACAACGTACTCTTTCCCGCCTTCCGACCCTGTCGGCCGTCCCACTCGTCCGGAAACCTAGGCAGCCACCTCGGGACGTGCGTAGACGGCGGCTCAAGCCGCAACTGCGCGAAGGTGAGGGAAGCCTCCGGCGGAGCGCCCCCTCCCCTCCACCGTCGAATCGGCCTCGCGAAGGGGATCTCGTCGACGGAGGCAACGAAGTCCATAAGCCCCTTCAGGGGCCCCGCCGAAGACCTGAGCAGGCGGGCACCGGGCCTGGCGGCGCCGGGGAATCCACGCGACAGCGACACCTCCTCGAGGGCAACTACGACGTCGAGCAGGTTGGCGTTCGTGCAGCCACGGGAGTTGGAGGCGGAGGCGGCGGCGCGGCCCACGGCGAGGACGTACCGGGCGGCGACGTCGGAAAGGACACGGAGAGCGGAGGTGTCAGCGGCGTCGTAGCCGACGGAATGGCAGATCTGGGCCACGGCGATCCTCGCCACGGCGGCCGGCAGCGGCGGCGCCGCTGCACCCATTCATGTTCATAAACTCGCCATTTTAAAACCCTACACGACGAATGGTTTTATAACGTGCGCTATCATCATGGGATCGCTTTGTCCAACTACCACCCCCGCACGAAAATAATCCCAAAAAAAAAAAAAACCTCAAATATAATAACTTTATTCCCCATTTTTGCATTATTTGGGCCTAATTCACACCCAGAGATAGTAATTCCCTTACGAATTATCACTCAGAAATAGGGGAGGAAAAAATTGTATAATCTATAAATAGTAAAGGAGAATCATTACTGGAAATAAAGAAAAAAGATTCATTAAGTTTTTCAGAGGAGACTAGAATAAAGAAAATATAAAATAAATGAAATTATCAATGCAGGGGACCTTGTCACGTGTGATCTATTATTTTGTGATAATTAAGATTAAAATTACTATAAATAAAATAAATATAATTATGTGATTCTATTTTCTAGATCAATTACTAACAAAAACTTGTGACAGAAGAGTTTTGAACAAATAATTAGGGAACAAGAGTGTAGCAAAAATCGAGGGCATAGTTGTCATTTCCCACTTGATAAGTGATTAATCATGTAGAGCCATTGTTGACTTTATCATGGTAGAGTAAAATCTACACCAAGTCTTGACTAATAAAATATATTTTTCTGTAAAGAACCAGAATTATTGTTAAGCCTCTCTCTCTCTCTCTCTCTCTCTCTCTCTCTCTCTCTCTCTCTCTCTCTCTCTCTCTCGTTATATCTATATATATGAGACAACAATAGAGTGGGAGAGAGGGAGAGGGGGAGAGAGAGTGGGCAAGGGGGATGGTCAATCATGTTTTCGATGATGAATAGAGATTGTAAGGACATTCTCACTCTTCTTCCTCTCTATCTTTCCATGTTGCCCAATGAGAGGATAACAGCAATGACATGCTGCAATGGGCCCAAAATAAAAGTGGAGAGAGAGAGAGAGAAAGAGAGAGAGAGAGCTCATGACAAGCATACAGCCATGATATAAAGGTGGAGGTGACGTGGCCCTTATAGAAGCCAAGGTAGGCCCAAATCATTAAAACTTGGGCTTTTGTAAGAGACGTATGGCCCAGGCTGGGGTCAGCAAGCTAGAAGCCCATTTTCCCTCTCCCATATTTTCTATGTTTTAAATATTGTGATAATATTAATATGTAAGTATTTATTAACGTAAAAAGTCGAAAATTAATGAATTGTCCACAGTAAAGACTCTGTGGGCGACGTGTGGCCTATGGCTGTCCCGTCAATAAATGTTGACCAAGGCCATAAGAGAGAGAAAGAGAGGGGAGAGAGACAGAGAGACAGAGAGACAGAGTTGGCCACCACACGTATTTACTCAGTTGCAGGAAGAACGGGGTGTACGGCATTGCACCATCTCAGAGGGTGAAGTAAAGAGGCTTCGCTGTTCTATTGCACGGCCTTCGAGCTCTGGCTCCCCAGTTGCACCCTCGGAGAGAGAGAGAGAGAGAGAGAGAGATGTCTGCGTATAAATGGGGAGAGAGACACGGATATGGATGGACAGAAATGGAAGGGAGGGGCCAGAAGGAGATTCAATACCGCCTGGTGGTAACCTAGTGGTATAGTCAAACAGTGTTGTTGCCGGGGGATCGAGGGAGGGAGGGAGGGAGGGAGGGAGATAGAGAGTAGCTTGGAAGCTAACAACGAAGAAGGGATGAGCAGTTTTCTTCGGCAAGGAAGAGGCATCATGCATTGCGGAGATAGATGGATGTCGAGAGAGAGAGGGGGAGGGAGAGGGAGAGAGAGAGAGAGAGAGTAAGAGAAGATAGGAACATAGAACGCTTTACCCCGCTGACATCATTGAATGTGGGTATTAGAGAGAGATGGAAGGAGAGGGGAGGAGAAAGGAATAAAACGATGAAGAGGAAGGTGAAAACTAACGATAGACTGGCGAAATCCAAACTCTTAGTCGGAACAATCGACCTCAAGCGTAAGGAAAGAGAGAGAGAGTGAGAGAACAAGAGAAGGAAAGAGAGAGAGAGGGAGGGAGAGAACGAGAAGAAGAAAGAGCGAGAGAGACACAGAGAGAGAGAGAGAACAAGAGGAGGAAAGAGAGAGAGGGAGGGAGAGAACGAGAAGAAGAAAGAGCGAGAGAGACACAGAGAGAGAGAGAGAGAACAAGAGGAGGAAAGAGAAAGAGGGAAGGAGAGAACAAGAGGAAGAAAGAGCGCGCGCGAGAAAGAGCGAGAGAGAGAGAGAGAGAGAACAAGAGGAAGAAAGAGCGAGAGAGAGAGAGAGAGAACAAGAGGAAGAAAGAGAGAGAGAGAGAGAGAGAGGGAGAGGACGAGAAGAAGAAAGAGCGAGAGAGAGAGAGACCGAGAGAGAGAGAGAGAGAGCTAGAGCTAGAGATGTAGACACAGAGTGTGAGAGAGAGAGGAACAGAGTGAAAGGAGAGAGGCACTACATTTGATTCACCATGTCCACTTTTACAACCCATACTCCCTGAATCAAAACAAGTTCATATGCATCGAAGCAAACCAGACGTTCGTCCAACAAAAAAAAACCCCGACTCTTAAGAGACCCACCACAAGAAGACCTCCCTCCCCACCACGTAGAACATAAACAAGCTCATCGCACTGCAGTGCACTGCACTGCCCCACGACGAGCCGCCGTCCTTCAGGGTTGCCCAGCGACGCCTCCCCCACCACGTAGAACATAAACAAGCTCATCGCACTGCAGTGCACTGCACTTCCCCACGACGAGCAGCCGTCCTTCAGGGTTGCCCAGCGACGCCTCCCCCACCGCCGCTGAAGAAGCCGCCTCCACCAGGCGCCACAGGCACGTTAAACACGCCGGGGACGTTACCGAAGCCGGGGACGTTGCCGAAGCCGGGGACAAGCGGCCCGAACACCGCACCACCTCCGCCGGCCATGTTGGGCACCCCTGGGATGCCTGGAAATCCGCCGGCACCGCCTAGGCCGCCGACGCCGCCTGGGCCGCCGAAGCCGCCGACGCCGCCTGGGCCGCCGAAGCCACCTAAGCCGCCGGGGCCACCGAAGAAGCCTGGGTAGGTCTGCGGCTTGTAGACCTCCGGCGTTGGCACGCCTCTTCCATCGCCGGGCACGGGGCAGCCCGCCGCCAGGCACAACACGAGGACCAGCACCACCCTCGGACACTTCTCCATCTCCTTGATATTTCTCTCTCTATCTCTCTCACTCACTCTCACTCCAGACTCTCCGTAAGGCGTCGCCGGGTCCTGATTTTATAGCGGCAAGGAGAGAAAGAGTGGGTGGGGAGTTGTCGTATCAGGGAACCGCCATTGAAGGGGGGCTCATAACTCGTCCAAGCTTTTTGAGAGTCCTTCATTAAACGACTTGCTTGACGCCATTGAAGGAGGACCACCCGTGACACGGTAACTGCTGCGGGAGCGCCAAGAAGGAGCCTGGAGCGGGACTAGGAGTTTGTGCACAATAAAGTCCCGGCCAGGGGTGTTTTCATAAGGTCCTATCCATATCATTAAATAATACCGTTTTGACCCTCTTTTTATGCGTCAATTCCATTCCTCTCACCGTAAATCCCGTGATATAACTTTGACTGCCACATCAGCGGTCAATGAAGTAAGATGACCCAATACTGAATAATGGGATTAAATATGCAACTTTACTTATGGAAAGCTATGTTTGACTCTAATTCCCACATTGTTAGTATACTTAATCCAAAAATGAGATTTTTTCAGAGGTTATCGGCTTAATGTGATGATGTATCTGGTTTTGGTTGTTTAGCTTCTAATGGGTTAAGATGAATATCAATGTCAATCAATGCAGTAAACCTCTAAATTTTAGGTTAATGAGGTATCTATCTGTATTTAGAGAGAGAAGGAGAGAGAGAGAGAGATGGAGGGATGGAGAGAGGGACTACGGACCTCAGTGGGCTAGAAATCATCCTATTAAGAAAACTTGAATCTCTACGGTGAACTTCAGAAGTTTAGACAAATATATATTTTTGAACCATAAATAATAGCAAAATATTATTAAAAATAAAGTGATACCAAGGAAGCTATCCCTCCGAAATAATAATTATAAGATAATAAAAATATTCCCCCTATAAATACACCCAACGAAATTAGAGTTTGAGCTTTATCCTGTATAATTTTTTTGTCGATATTAGATGAATGTCACTGTATCTAGATGTACTTGGAATGTCATTAATATTCCAGCTAATTACACAAGAATTGCACCCATGACACACCAAAATTAGGATTTTGGCTTTACCTTGTCTAATTCTTTGTTGATATTAGCTGAATATCAACGAATCTAGATGTACGTGGAATGCCATTAATGTTCCAGTAAACTACACAAGAAATGCAACCCTAACAGACTAAACTTAGGATTTTAGCTTTATCTTGTAAAATTATTTGTTGATATTAGCTGAATATTACTGAATCTAGACGTATAAGTTTTTTGTTGATATTCGCCGAATATAACCGAATCTAGATGTACTTGGAATGCCATTAATGTTCCTGCTAACTACACAAGAATTGCTAACCTGAATGAATATCATATATATCACATCCATCAAGTGAGTCTGACTAAAAATTAAAAAAAACCACCATTTGACTCTGACAATGTGACCATGCCATGTTTGAAGGGCTATATAACAAATTGGTAGAAGTCAACTTGATTATCATAAAAATCCTCAATACATTGTAATTCCCTTCATACCTTGTTGATGATGATATATGTAACTCCCTCAAAACTCTCATGCAAGGAGGGAGAGAGGATGAGAGACTATGATTAACCAACACAAGAGAGGGGTCTTCAGCTGCATCAAGACTCAACTAGATTTCAGCTAATGACAGTAAGATCATCGTAATTTCACTTATTAATTTTAAAAAATTAAATAAAAAACTGGAGTTTTAAAAATAAAAATGGATAGTACTTATTATGGAAGGCATGACCATTGAAGGTGGCCGCCATCATTACTGATATCAATAGTATCTCCTTGAAAGCCCTACAATATAAAAATTGAGGCCAATCAACAATGACCCAAGAAGAAAATATAATGCATAAGATAGTAGATTTCACGTGTATAAGATATCTGGATTTTAGGTGCATAAAAACATGAAACCTGACCCCCCCCCCCTAATGATATAGAGAGATAGAGAGAGAGAGATAGAGAGAGAAACAGTGAGACAGAGAGAGAGAGAGAGAGAGAGAGAGAGAGAGAGTCCAAAAGCCGACACAGGTCCATCAGCAGATGACCCTGTGACTTGGAAGGCCATGGCCCAGAGGAGAATGAAACACTTACACAGAAGATCTCAGGATTTACATCTGAAAACATATGAAAACCTGCACCTTCAATGGACCCAGGAGCAGATTTGAAGAAAAAGCCTAGAAAAATAGGCCCCCATATTTTAATGCTCAAGTCAGAAGCGGATGTCAGTTGACCCACCACTCGGAGGAGGGCTGCTTGCGTCAGCATTTAGAAACGCTGTAAAAACGTTGACTGGAGGCGTTGAGCTCCCTTACTTGAATCATAGATTAAAAAAAGAATAATATCAGATATCTTCTTCTTCTTCTTCTTCTTCTTCTTCTTCTCCTTCTTTCTATGTCTAGCAGATTTGAGATGTCAACCATGAAGGCAATCATCTGACGCTTGACATGGCTTACACCTGAACAAGGATACATCCGATGCCATGCTCTGCAAACTCCAGGCCTGAAGACTGTTATATAAGAATTATGGCCTGAAATAGAAACTAACTGGCATTTTTTTCTTGTCCTTGAAGAGCACATTCTGGGGTGTTTTGGCGAGCACCATCTGCACATCATCTGCACAAGTTTCGCCCTTTCAGATTGAATTCAACATGAATTCTGGACTGCGGCCTGCTGCAGATCATGAATCATTTACTCAGGAGCTTCCCTGGTATTCTTCAGCACAGTGACAGCGGACGGAGTTGTCTATTCCTGGAAAAATCACAGTTTAGTACTCAAAACAAGTAGCATGATACCAAGGAGATGAAATATTTCCCCTATAAGAATTTCTTAGATAATATCCCACCCATGAACCTTAGAAGTGATTCGTCGAGAACTAAAACCACAACAAAAACCCATGAACATATGCTAAAACATTAACATTTAACATTCACAAAGATGTCCATTAATGGTATAAATAAGCATAACAAAGTCAAATCAGAGGAAAGTCGCATTCTGCCCACGCGTTGAACTTGGCAACAATGACCAATGGTTGGAAATTCAGTGCCTTATCCTCTTCACTGCCACTTGCAAAATGACATCGAACAGACCCCCACCATCATGTAAGAAACTAATCACTGACAGGAGGCTCTCATCTCGGTTTCAATTAAAAAGATAAAATTAGCGATAACTCTGTAGAAATCATTTGCAGGTAAACCAACTGTAAGCAAAACTCCAGTGTAGAATTTCTACCGTGGCCACTTTACGGGCCAGTCCGACAAACGGTTAGAATTTCTAGGTTAATCATCTCGGTTCCAAATTCTGGTTTATCTGACTTCCAGTTTGATACCATCTTTGTTCCTGTCATAGGCTTACCTAGGTGAGCATGGTTTTCAAAACGAGCAATTGAACTTAAATTCGTAATAAGGAGTTTATCCCTAACCAGGCTTCACGTGATTAGCTTAGTCATCCAAGCTTACCAAACTCAGCTGGCTGGGTCATCTCAGTCAATCGGATAAGCCAGCATATTCCAGTTTTAGCTGGTTACAAAATTGCTACTCAAAGCCTAGGGTTTAAAGAGAAGAGACAACAGAGAATCCAATGAGTACACAACTCTCTCCAATGGGGATTACAAAACCAGATAAAATACCACATTGACTTTCATAATACATCAATCCTTGTAGTGCTGCCAGTTACTAAATTGTTATACTTTCCTTGTGACGAGTTTCTACCGCAACAATCCTCTGGACTCAATCCAACTCCACAACTTTGAAGACTTTGGATTTGGAACAGATCCCTATGAGACAAGGAGAATGAGATGGAAACACTGGCGTGGGATGCTTTTAAGAAGGTAATGCTTTCAAATATACAGCCAAAGGGCAAATATAATAGCTCAACATGATTAATATCAAACTAAATTTTAAGGAAATATGGTATTGAAAAAAATTCCAAGAGGAACAAAAGAAGATTGCTTGATTCAATAACTATGAAAAAGACATAATTCGTCACAGAATATACCATATGGATACTATCAGTGAACTCGACATACAGTAAAATAAGCCTTATGATAATCCAGCGAAATGCAGGGAGCTTACTCTTTCGATCTTACTTGCTGATTCAGTATCTAAATCCTCTCCTTCAGAATCATCCATTTCTTCACATTCAAACTGTACATCATCTGCTTCCTCTTCTGAATCACTTAGTTCTTCCTGTTCCATCACTATTTCGGGGGAAGGTCGATCAATTCTGTTATCAATCACTTGCTGCCGAATATCATGGCCGGACAAAATCGCTCCAAAAGCATTCCTCATCAATGATTTGGAGCAAGTTCTTGATTCGTAGTCCACTCCTAATGCGGTCTCCCTAGAGCATACAGATTTGTCTGCCATAGAGGCAGCATCGCTCTTCACTCGTTGGACAAGTGGTGGAATATGAGCATGCTCCCATTTTTCTTTTTGAACATCTGATTTGGACACGTTTCTAGAATCAACAGTCCTAGGGCTAACTGCTCCTCTTCCACCTGTCGATCTTCCTTCATTGGTTGCAGAATATAAGTGGATGTCCAAGTCAATACCACCATCCTTATCATACTGAGCTGCACATGATTTAGTTGGTTGACCACTATCAATCTGTTGTTGCCCCGGCATGGGGCTACCAGGTGATTCTGACACAGTAGGTTGTTTACCTGGATGCAAAACAGAAGAGCTGTTATTTATGTCACCGGTTCTTTGCAAGAGAGGATGAAAATCGATTGTTTGCCTGCTCAAATATAACCCTTTTGACTGTAACTGTGGAACAGAACATTCATTCACGCAATCAGATTGCCCAGGTCGAAAGAGATTTATATTAGCCTGTTGATCTGCCCTCAGTGAAACAGTTGAAGAACGGTCTTTTGTACGGTAAAGTTGAAGTTCAGCATCAGCCATTTGGAACAGCAAAGGATGCATCTGTATATCAGAGACACAATTGCTTTCTTCACTTTGATGATCTTCAGATGCTCTCAGATCCTGTCCAGAACTATTCTTGGTACCATTCTTGTGGAGAACAGAGACACATCTTGCAGCACTGGCCCTGGTAGTATCAGTCTTAAAACTCTGAGGCAACCTTGGAATCAGAACGTTATCAGAACTTTTATCTACCACAGAAGAGGGCAACATGGAATGATAGCTTCTGAAAGCAGACTGAGAAATCACACGCACAGATGGAGGAAGGTTCACAGGAGGTAGTTCTGGTGCTAACTTAACAACTTGGGCTCCTTTCCTTTTACGCATCCGATATGTAGATGGGACTAGATTGCTTGTAGATGCCATAGAACTTGATTGCAGCCAGCTTGAAGAACCAGCGGAGGGTGTGATTATTTGCGGGCTGGTAGCACCATGTAATTGCTGCCCAGACACCAACTTTGAAGATCTGAGAAATCCATTGATGTGCCGGTTTGATTCTCGATGTTCATCTGTAACAGTAGGCAAACGTACACTCACATGGGTATCCCCAGGGTGTGGGATTTCAACTGATGGCATACTCCGATTGATAATGCCAGAGAAATTAAGTTCATAGGAGCTCTGCTCAGAGCCTACTTGCTCATTATCTGCTAAGAATGCTTCATGAACATATGCTTCCTCTTCATTATCCCCATTTTCATCAGCAGTATTTTGATCAGCATCATCAAACTACGAGTTGAAGAAACAGACAGAGGGAAACATTCATGATGTTAGTTTGATTGATGCGAATAAACCTACTGACTAAATCATAAAAATAAACCTGACCTCATATTCAGCTTGTGTTGTCTTCCATTCTGATGTTGAAGCTTTTAATTTTCTTCTCTTTGCTTCATAAAGCCGACGCTTTTCATTTACAGACTCATCTTTTCTATAGGATTTTTGAGTTCCAGTAGCAATTCGCCACTGTCTGGGTAGTAAGGAAGGATCTCTATGGGGGACAAATAACCTCCACACAGATATCCATTCGTGTTTGAAGAGTTTAAGACCCTGGGAAGATCATGTGAGCGCAATGTTATCCAGATTAAATTAAATAGAAATGTTTAGTCCCAGGAAGGTAAAAAATAAAAGCCAAATGTCAAGCTACCTCAGCAATGAGCACCTTCTCATCTGCAGTCAATGGTGAGGTTTTCATACGCCTGACAGCCTACATCAGCAAAAAGGGAACTTTCAGATGTCTTAGGAACAGCTGAGAGTCATAAGGAGATAAAAATCGTTCTCCATTCTTTCATTAAAGAGACGACGCACTCCAATGAGTTTGGAAACGTTGTAAACAAAAGTCGTACATCAAGAAATTAGTTTTGCAAAACGGATATAACGGGAAAGAATCCAAGAGAGAGCATTAATATAGATGCGCAGATTCTATCAGATGATATACTATTTTAAAGATGGTAACACATTAAATACGTGGCCAGAATCAAAAGTAAAAGGCAGATTTTCCCTCATTCACAGCGAAAGGGCAAAACATATTAAATGTTTCTTGCTATTCCTATGATGACTGGTGCCCTTGGGATAATCATAAAGGATGTGCCATAAATTCACAAGGGCATAAAAAATTACTCCATTTGACTATGAAGTGAGCGCCATAACTTAATACCTTCGTTTTTCCAAAAAGAGTCCCAGTAATATATTGAATAATTTATTATCCTGTAATATTATTCAAAGGAAAAAATGGTACAGGAAGCGATCCAAATTTAACTCAGTATCATGACCTGCTCCAGCCCCGTCAAAAGTCAAACACTAGCTAACGCCAAAAACGCCTGCTCAATTTTCTAAACACCACTTGTTTAATTACTTTTTCTCCTTGTCTAACATGATTACTGTTTAGCAACACTCATATCTGAACTGGAAACTCGTCTTGGGTAAGTCCATTAACTAACAAGGAGACAAGCTGTTACTCCTGAGTTTCCGGTAAGAGCTACAAGTTTCATCCATTTGCATTCCAAAGAGGAATTAGAATTTTCAGTCAAAAATGCATCATCAAGTAAAATCCCTAATATCATGGCAAAAACCTCACGGCACCCAACAAATAAAATCACTAGTACCAAAAAATAAATACCATAAATTTCTCAAAATTTGCATAAGCTACTAGTTTGAATGCTAAAACATTGTTCTGTTTGATACAACAATTCGTTCGTCTAATTGAATGAGCGCCTTCACATTGCTGTGTATATAGAGAAGACCAAGGTTTGCATATGAGAAAGAAAATCGTGCCAGGTGCAACAAACTTGTAACATCCAGCTACAAGGATTGGCCCATCTGTGACACCCGTTTTTTGCAGAAGAGGCACGCACTATTCCACATTGGTTGGTCGTACAACAGGTGCGCAATGCAGCATGCAACGTGAATGTGATAGTCTGTTGCATAGAAACTCAAAACAGATATGTACAACCGTTGCAGAGCTGACAGGAGCCAAACATCAAGTGTTGCAAATGGCAAACACTGCAGACCCAAGGCATAAATATGGCAGAATAACGATGTAAGTGGTGTGAGCATTATCAACACAAGGCATGGAACAGGCACATACTCTAGGGCAGGATAACATGTAAGTGGTGGACAACCTGTACTGGATGGACTCAGAATGGGGCATAAATAGGGAGAAACGAGCCTAGCTGGAGAGGGGAATCCCAGCCGAACACCAACACATTCCATTCTATCATAGTGAGAGTTACATTTCGTTTGACTAACGCAATACCGACGACGTGTTTGTCATGAGTCCATCAACGGCATCAAAAGAAAAACAGGTGCAAGAAAACTTTGACCCGCACATAACGATGCATCTCCTCACATCAAATTCTATGTCAGGTTGGATTCGTCACCGACCCTACCCAAAACCCCCTCCAACATTTGAAATACATCAATCAAAAAGATTATAAATAAAAACGTAATATTTCACAAAAAAGGAGTTGTTAGCTTTGTTCTCACTAATAAAACAGAATCCTAATTGACTGAGATAGATTGCACAAAATGGGGCATAGTGAGGTTATTAACCACCTCTCAGACAATAACATTTTTCCCAAAAAATAATCACACTTTTCCTAAAAAAAAGAATGCATAGAGAAAGTTATAATGAGTCTTTTAACAAATAAAAGAGCAACAGTCTTTGCAAACAATTCATTTGAGAGGACAATAGGAAAGAATAACACATGAGAACAGTCTTCATCAAAAATAATAACACTCTTTGGGAAGCAACATGATATAATTCGACGTATAGTAAAATCTAGGCGAGGTCTAGAACCCATTAGTCATAACAAGGATTGATTATGCTTTCCCTAGTATAAAATAGAAAACACCAGCCCCAAATTCTGAAATATCTCTACATACAGTACAAATACTTTCATTCTTAAATTTCTTGAGGTAGAGAACTTGCAATCATGACATTAGAAAAAGTGAACAATGACTTCACGATAGCATGGAAAAAAATTAAAATGAATCAAATCCATACTTTTATTGGATTTTCAGGCGCTTTTGAAGAGCTGCGATTTTTCTGTCTGACAAAGATCTGCATGACGAAAATTTCACAACGTCAAATCATTAGGTTATCGCATGCATTTTCAAGAGAGAAAGAGCTTCCCCATTATCCCTTACAGGAATCACACGGTAAGGAAGAATCTTAAGGAAAGAAAATATTATAGCATGCCGAAATACACTGATAACTATCCCTAAAATGCACAAACGCAAAAGCATACAATCTGTAAATCTGCAATGTCAGAACATGAACAAGTCACTTTCTTTTACATCTTCTGAAATGGAGTTCAATAAATTCAGTCATTTGGCGAATGAAAGAATTATAAGCAGCTGTACATGGATTGAAACATGTTGGAATAGTCCTCTATTACCGATACAAAGCCAAACATATGGTTATAAAGATGGGCAGACTCCATTAGCTGCTAATGAAACTTGACCTGAATGTCGAAATAACTTTAATATTAATTTTAAAGTTGATGGCGGCGTTTCAGCCGCTCATACTCACTTTGAGTTACCCACACGAGAAGACCCAAAAGTCATTTCCATGAGAAGAAACGTGTAAGTGTCCAATTAAATTGATTAATGCAGAAGTAGACACCTGGCTACAAAAATGGGTCAACTCCACCTATCACAATTGCTCTGGCATCAGATGGCTGAATAAATTGAACAAGATGTTTTGACAACACATAGGATCACCACGCTTAACTAGACTGGCATCGGACGCTGAATTAATATACTAGAATAACTGGCCCAAACTATATTGGCTAGAGCCTTGTATTTTAAAGAGTCATGGTAATTATAAACTTGGAAAAGTTTCCCCAACCTTGCCATGAGTTCAGACTACCTCTTCAAGGAGCACTAGGCACAATCTCAACTGCAGAATGTAAGGGTCGAATCCTTAGATGTGATTGCTAAGGGCAAGGGAAAGTACATCAAGGCCAAAATATTAAGCAGACTAAGGCATCTAGAAACACAACTCAAAAAATTCTAACCTGGTGCTTGGACTTGCAAGGAAGAAACCGTTGCTGTATTGCCCCCCAATCATTATTATATTCCATAAGTCCCATTGCTAACAATCTACAATACATAAAGACAGTTAAAAAATAGTAAACATGTAAAACATGAAAACAAAAGTTGAGGACAATACATGGATCAGGAAAAAAACAGAATTTCTTGTAACTGGACTGCTCCCCAATCAATATTATACTCCATAAGTCCCATTGCTAACAATTTGCAACGCATAAAGACGGTTAAAGATTTTAAATATGAAAACAGAAATCGACGACAACACATGGATCCATAAAAAAACAGCATTTCCTGTGATGTCCATCAGAGAAATGACCACAATGTCCTCGAATTTAGTCGGCATTGTATCTCAGACACTGGATTTATCTTTCCTTGAAACAAAAAATAATTACCACAAATTTTCCATGCTTGGTCATTTTTCTCGGCTCAGTTAGCACCAGTCTGGAACTGATTTTTACGAGCCAGATTCAGATTTAGACCAACAAGACGGATACCAAGATTAGTTCAACAAAAGCTGTGCAGGTTTGAACTTGTCACATCGCTATGTAAACCAAGCATGGCTAAATCTGATGAATAGCCACTTGATAAATACAGTATCTGTTTTTAAGTTATGAAGATGTACCTATCTCACTTATAGCCAATTTGTTTTAAGTTAGACGACACAATGGCTCTAATATGGCACCAGAGCTGATGGATCGCCCAAGGCTGAACACACCTCATTTGTATTCTCCATGTGAGGCGTATTAAGGCTAGTCCAATATTCATTATTATCGAAATAGCCCTGTGATTATGAAGATAGCCCTGCTCCACTCATTAACAATTGGTTTTGAGTAGGATGGCTTGGTAACTCTAACAATTGGTACATTTTTATTGTCTCATTACTTTTCTTCTTCTCTATTTGAGAACGAGTTTTCTGATACATAAATCGAAATAAAATATATTTTTCATAATGCAATATTCATAAAATATTTTCTTAATTCATGTATGGGTCATTGTCAAATCTTCCTTAGCGGACTTTCATGAAAGACAATTTTGTTCATGAAAAACAGCAGGATGTCCACCCTAACATCTGAAAGATTATTTTGGACATAAACATAGGTCAAACTCGAGCACACAGAATCAAACATTCAATGCTATAAATGAAGGCCGATAAACAATAGAAATACACCTGAAGTGCGATTGGTGTCATCTTTGTAAACTAATCCAAGCAAGTAGATAAATGAACAAAAATCTGGATTTAGTTCAGAAAAAAAATATATAACTTTGCAAACAATTTTAGGTTTTGATGACATCAAATGAATTCTCCTAGTTATTCGTGTTGAAACCAAGCATGGCTTATTTACTGATGAATAGCCACTTGATAAATAGAGCATCTGTAATAGGTCTTATGGTATTATGCTTCCTCCTCTCAATATACTAACTCCTACATCTGATGTCTACCTTGTGTTGTAGACATATGGTAAGCTTTATGAGAGATGGTGCGTCAGGCTGGTAATTAAATAAGAAGACATTTACCAAAAATAAATAAAACGCAGCAATCTAAGCCTTTAAACACAAGAAAAAGAAAATGCAGCGTACCCATCCTCTGAATCAGTGAAGAGTACTCGATTGGCTACAGGTGGCGGTGGAGGTTTATGAGGAAATAACAATGGATTGAACAGAGTATGAAAAGTCTGTGCTAAACTTGCAATGTCACTGGGAACAAGTGCAATTGACTGCTTCTTAGTCCTCTCTACAAGTGTTGCAGCAAGAGACTTCTTTGGCTGACCTTGACAAGAAAAAACTGAAGAACTTGTTGTTTCAACTGTAATCTTTGTTCCACCAATAACTTCTGCAGTTGTCTCTTGTGCAACCACATAATTTTGGAGGGGGAAAAGAGGTTCCTTTTTCAATTGGCTTCTAACATGCAAACCTTCCATTTGGTTCCTTTTATACCTAAGAATAGCTATGTACAGAAAAAAATCACAGTGAGAATGTGAAATAACTCCCTGCAAGCACAAAAAGTTAAAAATAGATGATAATCATGACCATAAGTTCACCTACAGGCTGAAACATCGTCAATATACTTCTTAGTCGAACCGAGAGATTTGACATCAAGAATGGACAGCATAGGAGTGCTTATTGATGGCGCCCAAGAAAAGTTAATTCTCTGAGAAGGATCAAAATTTATCGACTGGTAAGCATGCAGATAATCAAAACAATAGGCAGGGTATGATACTCTCCGGCATGCCAGTGCCTCTTCACGTTTATCAACCATCTCAAGAAGCAATAACTGAACCTTGCTGGCAATGTGTTGTCGAATGGGATCATGGGCAGAGAGAGAAAACACCTGAATAAGAAGTTGAACGTGCTCATTTATTAAACAAAATAACTGGTCAATTTGTTCTGATGTGAACCCGCGTACAGACTCCACTTTGGAAGATGAATGTGGAATTATCTGGGAAAATGAGGATTGCCATCCATGCGATTGAAATGGAGAATCTACTGGAGTGTTAGTAACAAATGGTAAAATAGGGCGTAATGGAGTCTTGGCCTGACCCAAAGGCCGGTTTTTATTCATGGTAGAAGCTCTCTGAAATCTCTTCTGCCTTGTTCCTGGTCCACGCCCATCCCTCCTATATTTTTCTTGCCAAGCAAAATTTCCACGATTGTTTTCATCAACGTCACTATCTAATGCCTCCTCTATTTCAATTTCAAAGTCAGCATCATTCTCTTCATCTTCGTCCAGGTTCTCATCTCCATTTCTTTCATTCCCCAGATCATTTCCATCTGATAATACAGCTGAAAGAAATTTGCGGTATTCTTCTTCATCATCAACATTTTGAAGGTCATCATCGTCATCAGATTCTTGAAGAAATGTTTCCAACTCCTCAAGTGAATAATCAGCAAGTGAATGGCGAGCCCTGGTACGCATGCAAATGGCATCTTCGTCATCAATTTCTCTGTGAGACCTAGAACAACTTTTTGGATTAGGAGATGACACCATGGTCTGCTCTGGAAAGCCTTTCTTAGTTGTAACCTCTGAAACTATGGTTTCATCAGTTGAGACAGCTCCTTTCGTGCTTTCCTCAGGAGATGTGAATCTTTTCCCCTGTTCATTAACTTTGTTTCCCGGGGACTTCTTGTCACGTGTCTCCATGACAATGTCTTGTTCACCTTCTCGAATAAGCTTAACATGTGACATCTCCCCACTGGCCCAAAGGAGTCTGCTACAATTTTCACTCTCATCAACTGCATCCTCGCCTTGATTATCTGAATGTTGCAAAGGCTGTCTCTGGGAACTATCAGCTGAACCTTCATCCTCAGAACTCAAACTCGAAGAAGCCTCAGAAGCTGTCTCTGCAATTAAACAAGGATTGAAATCCGTATCCTCATCTTCTTCATCGTCATCAACTTCTTCTTTTTCCTCCTCTGCCTTCCAGGGCTCAATCTTTCTATTACATCCTTTGGATGCTTGAGAGGTATTCTGGCCATGCTGCTCAATGTCTGAATCTTTCATATCATTCAGACTTGACATCCTGATGTCAGGAGAAACAAGTATAAGTACATGAGAAAAAAAGAGTGCGAAAATGAAATTTCAATTGAATCTTTTGCCTTTTTTTCTAGTGTACTTTGTACCCACTAATTTTGCTCAGTATGAAAACTAACCTGTGAACTTTTTTGTAAATTTTTTGTCAATTCCCGAAATGTTTCAAACCATTCTCTAACTTACATATTCCAGTACTTTTGGTCACTCTTGTTAGATGCCTAGCTTTCTAATATACTAAGAGTAACTTTGGCTGACCTGCATAAGTCGAGACATATTTTGGACTTCTCAGGTATACATTGGAGTTGAATACCCCAGTGTCAGTTTAGCTCAGAGTTAAAATAAATATGATTCAATGGCAGATTCCCATGCTTAATAGGAAGCTCCAATGCGGCCCATGTCATTTGCCCCAGTCTGGCAATGTTAGAAAGGAAACAAAGAAAAAACATTGAGTGTTCATGGCTGAACAACATCAAAAACCTTATAAGCTCTAGCAAAATATTTCATTATTCTAAATAAATAAATAAATAAAATTAAAAATTCGGATAAGTGGATCTACTGTATGGAGGCCTTCCATACCAAATTTGTGGTAAGAAAGATAGTCAGATAAAATCTAATTGAAGTAACTGAGTGCCAGAAAAATCTACATTTTTGAAGAGAATCCAGGTAACCAAAAATATGGGCCGTAAATATTTTTAGGCCCAGCCTCCAAACCTGTAAAACCCTGACTTTTTCTCCCCTTCTTTTTTTTTCTCTCTAAGCCTTGCCATCTTTCCTTTGTTCAATTTAGCTCCCTTTCCCTCTTGATCCTCTTCCTCTATTCACCCTTCCTCGTCTCAATCAGACCACTCCCAAACTAACCAGCAGCCAATGCGCAGGTGTCAAGATTTTCAAAAGTGGGAACACTGGTGTTCGCTCAACCTTTTGCTGCATCACCTGCAATCACACGAACATCCCCTAGCAGAAGAATTGTAGCACATGAAACATGAGGTGAAGTGCAGGCACAACAACATCCCACTGCTGGCAGCAAGCATGCGTGTGGGAAACCCAGCAGCGTGCATGCAACATCCCAGAAAGAAGGAGAGGTTTGGAATGGATGCATCCCGTTCCCACCCCCACACCTCCACCCGTGAAACATCCCTGTACCTCCTGATCCATCTGCTACCACTTTTAATACGATATCATGCCAATGCCTGGCAGCACATGCACAGAAGGCAGAAACATAAACTATTTGAGAATGATGCCCAGAAGGTAGTGCACAAAGAAAGAAACCCAAGGCCCCAACAGGAGGATTTGATGATTAGAATTGAGAGACTCGGCATGTAAACACCCCTGATCCACGTGATCTATAAGGGATAGGACAATTAAGTCATCCATAAGACGTTAAGTATCTATAGCGTCACAAAGAATTCTTGAAAGTTCCTTCCACCATCAGTTAACACTTTGACAGCTACTTCCAGCAATAGCGGGCTAGACAAACGCTAACTCTCAATGCAGTCCTCCACAGAACCTAATCTTTCTTCTATTAACTTTGAATAATTTTTCAGATCACTTAGCGATTCTTTGTTTCTGCTGGATGTTCTGGACGTAGTTTATCTTTTCAAGAAGTTCCCCATCCCTGTATTGTAAATTGGAGTCCATAAATTTCAGTCTGTCGCCAAATCAGTCAAATTGGATCCAATGGCTAGACCTAAGCCAGACAAGGTTTCCTATCTTCATGCATAGATGACCTCCAAATCGCAATCTGCGGCATTCTTTCTACACTATATGGCATCGAAACTCCTAACTATGGTTTTAGAATGAATCAAATTCACGTGGCATGTTCATCTTTCGATAAACTTGCCTTCGAAGAACCCGTGGCAGGTTCATAGTATGAAAGGAAAGATACCCATATAATATTTGTTCATAGTCCAAATCTCGTCAGCGAACGTACGTTGCCGCTGCTCCAGGAGTCCATCCACACCAAGAATTAAAAACTGATTTCTACTTCTCTTACCTGGAGATCTGAAATCATGAAGATGCACATGAAACTAAGCGAAATGAGGAGAACGCAAAAAAAAAGAAATCAACGATGTAACGCAGCGTACCTCAATCACATAACAGAACACCACGAAGCAGAACAATACGCCGATTCAATGCAACTAAAATAAATGGGAGCATTCACCCTGCAGACGGCGCAACCAGAGAAGTTGGGCACATACGGAAAGGGAGAAGCTGCCGCAAGCTTTGGGAATGGCCCGAGGACTCCCGCACGGGGAGAAAGGGCGGAAGTAGGAGTCTCTCAGTCTGAAGGAACGGGGAGAGAGAGAGAGAGAGAGAGAGAGAGAGAGAGGGAGGGGCACCGGAGGAGGCGAGAGGGAGGGGGACGACGCCAGCGGCTTTGCCGGCGGAGAGGGAGGGAGATGGAATATCGGAGTTGTCGGGTCCACAACGGGCAGTAATACAGATTTCGGTGTAGATCCGACCCGACTAAACCTCTTACCGAAATGATTTTTATTTTTTATTTTTTTATGACCAAACCAGCCGGAGTTCTTTGATCGCCGATGGCATCCTCCGCCGTCGCTCCGCCGCCGCGGGCGGCGGCGCTGCCCTTCCTCGCCGCCGCCGTCCGGTCTTTCGCGGCGGCGGCGGGGGTTTCGAGCCTGAAGGTACCGTGGCGGAGGGACCCTCTACTGGACGCGACCATCGAGCGAGACAAGAAGTGGCGCCTCTGCTCCCGCGTGGTGCGGGAGGTCCTCAACGAGCCCGGCAGTGCCATCGCCCTCCGCTACCTGGAGAAGCGGCGCGAGCGTCTCCGCCTTCCGGTGAAGGTGAAGACCTTCCTTTCCCGCAACCCCCTGCTCTTCGATGTCTACCAAGACCGCCTACGGCCGCCGGCGGAGCCCGTCCCCTTCCTCCGGCCCTCCACCCGTTTGACGAAATTCCTTAGAGAAGAAGAACGGGTCCGCTCCACCAACGAGGGCCTCGTCGTCGCCAAGCTCTGCAAGCTCCTGATGATGTCCAAGCACAAGGTCCTCAGCTCCGAGAAGCTGCTGCACGTCAAGCGGGACTTCGGCTTTCCCGACGACTTCCTCTCCAGCTTGGTCCCCAGGTACCCGCATCGCCTCCGCTTCGCCGGCGGCGCCGCCGCCTCCTTTGTGGAGCTGGTGGGGTGGGACGAGGAGCTGGCGCAGTCGACGGTGGAGCGGCGGGCGGCGGAGGAGACCCGCCTGACGGGGGTCCCCATGAGAGCCAACTTCGAGCTCCGCTTTCCGCGGGGGTTCTCGCTGAGGAAGGAGATGAGGGAGTGGACCCGCGACTGGCTCGAGCTCCCCTACGTCTCCCCCTACGCCGACGCCGGCGAGCTGCGGCCGGCGTCGCCGGAGATGGAGAAGAGGATGGTCGGCCTGCTGCACGAGTTCCTCTCCCTGACGGTGCTCCGCCGCGCCGCCGTGCCCACGGTGGGGAAGTTCGCCGAGGAGTTCTCCCTCTCCAACGCCTTCCCCAACGCCTTCACCCGCCACCCGGGGATCTTCTACCTCTCCCTGAAGGGCGGCGTCGAGACGGCGGTGCTCCGGGAGGCCTACGGCGGCGAGGGGGAGCTCCTTGACCGTGACCCATTGCTGGAGATCAAGGACATGTTTGAGGAGCTCCTCGAGGAGGGGCACCGGCAGTGGGTGGAGCAGCAGAGGACGAATCGGCAGTCGGCGGGCGGCAGTAGGGACAGAGAGCTGCTCGCCTCCGGGGGACAGTCGCAGTGAATCGAATCCGGCGGCGAAATTCTGCTGAAACCCGCCGGAGATTCGCTCGGGGAGGAGGAAGGAACCGTTGACATGGGCTTACCCGGTTAAGAAAAAAGCCACCTTTTTTTCTTACAAGGCTCCTGATGCAATGGGTCCCTGCATTGATGGCTCTAGAATGGCATATGGGTCGTAGCAAGATCAGTTACAAGAATCTATGTACATGAATCAGTGGAATGGGGGGGAAATAGGAGATTTCCATCAAAGTTACCGCCCGCAATGTGACTAGTTGACGATGTTACATTGGTCAAGGGGGGCCTTCATCTGGGATGGTAATCTTCTCTCTTTGGTCGTCGTCGGCGATCGGAGCCTTCATCATCAGGTTTAGATGTTCTTGTGCGATGAAGAAGGAGCTTGTCGGACTTGGCGAGCCTCCGAGCAAGATCATTGGTCCTGTAGCTTGAGGGGCTGCTCTCCTGCTGCTAAGGTGGGGCATCATCAGAGAGAAAAATTAAGAGATTTTTTTTTCTATTTTTGCCTGCGTTTTATCTCTCTAGAAAAATGATGGTACCTTGTCATTTGGGGGGCTTTGTATCAATTCTTGGAAGCTTTTTGGACCGACAAGCTGCTTCATGATCTCATCCTGCTCGGCGATCCTCCTGGTGAGGTTTCTCTTGTCCATCTGTAGGGAAGACGAATAGAGAGCATGAATAAACCGTCCACAGACAAAGATCATAAGACTCTCTCTCTCTTCTCTCTCTCTCTCTCTCTCTCTCTCTCTCTCTCTCTCTCTCTCTCTCTCTCTCTCCCCAAAAGTAAAGCACTGTGGCTGGAATCAAAGATCGTTCACAGGGAGAGCAGACCTTCAGCATCTCATTTTGTGCTGTGAGCACTTGATACCGGTGTTGTAGCTTCTCGAGTTTTGCTTGGGTTGCTAGAATATCTGCCTTCATTTCTTCAATCCACCTACCAAAGGAAATTCAACTTCAGGCACGATGAATCACATTTAGCAACTGTTTGAACCATTTTTTTCTTTTTTGCCCGGAAAATAATGCAGTGTCTGGTATACCTTGCCAGAAAATAACCTCAGTTCTTCGTAAATTCTTGCATATGATGTTTTCTCAGATCATATTAAGCAACTGTTTGAAATCATAATTCTCCAGAAATATTTAGTTTCAGTTATTCATAAATCTTCATAAATTTAACTTCAGGCCCCCATAAATCACATTAAAAAACCATTTGAGATCATTTTTTTTCCCAGAAAGATGCCCCTGTGCACCCTATTTTTCCTCAGATGTTCTGATGGATCATATTTTGTAAGCATCTAACATTCTAGGTAGAAGTCGTACCTGTCTTTTTCTTCAATTAAGTCATTAATCTTCCCCTTCAGTCTTAGAATTTCATCATCCTGATTTGAGAGAATACCTGTTAGTCCCGGCATATAAAAAGGCAAAATAAACCAGTCATCTCAAGACCCTAACCTTCTCCTTATTTACATGATCTTCTTGCCGATCATCCCCCGGTGAGTTTTTCAGTTGCTCCATTTCTATCAAATTCTATGTCCAACCAAAAAAAAAAGAAACCATTAAAAAAAAATTGATGAAATTTGGAACAAAAATGGAATCCACGGTGAGTTAGCTTCCATCTGAAGCTTACAGCATAGCTCGTCATGTCCAATTTCACCTCCAGGAGGTCCCTGATCACATCATGTGTCATGTTGTCCACCGCTGCTAACCTTGCAGAGAGCATGCACACCTGAGAGGCATGTTCATTCAAAAGGGTTACGTTATCACAGAGTGATAGATTTCCCAGGAGGGAGATTTATTTATTTTTAGATTCAAAAGGGTTATGGGGATGAAGTGCAACAAGAATAGATGGCGAGGGCATATTCATTCAAAAGAAGAGCAATTTTTATTATAAAATTCGAGAAAAAATGTCTGCCCACACAGCTATGGCTAATATCATGCCAGTAATAACTCATCACAATTATTCTTTCATTTTTACCCATAAAGGAAATAATTATGGAACCCTTGTTCTTGTTAAATGGAAAAGGAAATACAAAAATAGTAGAAAACGAAGCCACGTTGATGTAAAACGAGCGACTTTTATTAGAAATTCAGGTGACTTAATTCTACACTGAGCACAGCAAAAACTAGTACGATGCCAGAAATAAACGAAATACAATATTTTCTTGTATTTTCTATCAAAAAAGGGAAGAGATGTCTGTGAGACTCAAATCGGCGAAGATGTATCACCTGTTTCTGGCGATTGGCAGCCAGTGCTTGCAACTCTTCAATTCGAAGCTTGGCCAGAGAAAGTTCCTTATCTTTCTCTGAATTCATCTGCTGAACCACACTTGAGATACATTTGAATGGTGACACAGAACCTCTTGGTCTGACAGAAGTCTTATCTATTTTATTTGTCAATGAAGATGCATGGTTCGATAATGACGGATTCATCTTGGCTTCAGACACCATTGCTTCCAGCATCTGGAACTGTTCCAGATATCAAAAGGATGGCATTAATCATAACCAAACTCAGACCAGTATGGGGTTATATGCATATAGATCCTCCTTTACTACCTTTTGGTGGTAATGTGATGATTGGGCCTCGGAGTGCAAAATAAGCTCGGAGATGTGCTCTTCAAATCGTTCAATCTTATAAAATTGGAATTGGTTAATCGATAGTGTTTATTAGTAATATGCAAGCCGGGGGAAGGGGAGGGGGGTGGGGCAAGTAGATACCTCTTCAGCTTGTCGAGCTCTTTCCTTTTCAAGATCCTCTATTTTCTTTTTTGAGTCGTAAAGCTCTAGAAACATGGCTTCAAATTGCCTACAGGGGAAAATGGTTGACTTAGTAGCTGGCAGATAAAAGACTGTGCAGCCTTGTTCGAAGATTACAGTGGAACAAGCGGATTTGACCTTGGTACATGGTGAGCTCCAACATCAGAGTCATCTGTCCCAAAGCTTTCACCAGGCGTTCTGGTCAACACTCTTTTCCTGAGAGTCTGAAGCCCCTGCTCTTGTTCTTCCCTCATCAGCTGGTACCGTTCTACCTCTTCCGCCATGTCGAACACCTGAATTCAGAAAATGGTCATATCCAGAAAAGGGAATTGATCACATGCACGTCAATCAATGGAGAAGAATGATGCACAGGAAATTCCAGGAGTTACCTTTTTCTCTAGCGCATCTATGGTTCCCTCGAGCTCTGCAACTGAGCTTTCAAGGACTCTGACCTCCTCTTCCTTCTCTTCAGCATAGATTCTACTTGCCTCCGCACCCTGAAAGAACGCAAGATTTGGTTCAGGCATGTCAAAACCACCCCATTTCAAATGGAAGAAAAGCTGGTCGCCAGTTTGGGTACATACTTGACGAGCTTCAACTGCAACTGCTTCATTTTCATCAGCCATGGCACGTGCCATCTCGAGCTTTTCAGTCAGGTGAAGAATATCATCCTGGAGCCGATCCCTCTCATCACAGACCAATCTCAGTTCCTGCAAAATTTCTTGTACTGAAAAAAATCCTCTCTTTTCTAGTGAGGCATTCACCCGGCATATTTCTTTCTCCAAGCTTTCAATGATCCTTTCTTGGTCTTTCAACCGCCTTTCAGCATCCATCTTCTCCAACTGGCCATTTAGGTTGCTCTTTTCTTTTAAGAATGCAGTCGATAGATCTTTGCTTTCCATAGGTTTTGATCTTGAGCTAGCAAGTGCAGCTTTGGTATCTGTCACCGGAGATAAAATTTCTCTCTTGCGGCAAAGCATTGCATCAACTTCAGCAATCTTGATAGCTAGCTCATACTGAGCCTGTCCCAGAGAACCAGTTGACTCTTTCATACTATCTTTGATGACGTTCTCTAGAGCAACAGAACCTAGTCCATGCCCATAGGGTTCATTTCTGAAGAGTACATCGTTCTGATCTGGTTCTTGCGAAAGTGACAAAGTATGAGTTACACTATCATTTTCTTCAATTAGATCTACAATGTGCCCCTCAGAAAATTTCAGATCACCAATTATGTCTGTTTTTTCCGTCTCTAGCTGTGCAAGTAGAGGACATTTTAGGGCATTAAGAGCAATTGGACTCTCGCAGCATGTGGAATCTGCATTAATAAAAAAGTCAGCATGAGATTCCGGGGAAAAGTTCAGCAACTCCTGGGGTACACCTAAACCAGACAATGCCCCTTTTTCATGTTGCTCAATTCCTTCCACGTCTTCCTTCATAGATCCTAAGCCATTCCTGACATGCAGGGAGCCATTTCCTCTATCTCTGGGTACAGTCCTGGAATCTCCACGGGAAGAATCATCAAGATTGTGGACTAGTTCAAGGCTAGCAACTTCGTCCAAGGACCCTTGGTGTTGCAAATTAGGGAAAGATAATGGTAAAGCTTTACGTATTATCTCAGAAGAAAGGGATTTAAGCCATGCTTTCGAGGTCTCTATGCACTCCTGCATTTCCTTCAGAGATGACAAAACAGTGGAATGCATTTCATTCAGTTCTGAGATTGTATAATCCTCTATCGTTTGAAAATTTTCTTGAAATGCAGCCATTAGAATTGGCATTTCTATGATAGCAGCGTTAATCTGGTCTCTTAGGAATTTTTCCTGTTCCACATCAGCGACAATAATTTCTCTCATTCGTTCCACTTCTGTAGCCAATGAGTCTCTTTCTATCTGCATCTTTTCACTTGTTTGCTTCCATCTGTCTGCCTCAAGGCACGCATTTTCATTTGCTGCTAATAGCTTTTTCAGCATAAGATCAGCCTCTTTCATCGTTTCATGTGCTTCCTCAAATTTTCCTAATAAGCTTGCAGTTTGCTCTGTTTGCTCGTCTTCAAACTCCCGACCATCATTGACCTCTTTGTCCAGTATCTATCCAAAGAGTCAAAGATGTTAGAAACAAGATTATCGCTCATCCTAGTTGCCAATTTTGGTTGATAAAAATGCCATAGAAACATGTTTAACGTTCAAATAAAAGTACAAAGCTTACCTCACTGGTTCTTGAGTAGCTTGCATCCATTTTCTCAATCTGTCGCTCCAAAATTTGAAGCTTGTGACAAGAGATCTCTGTATTCATCTGATTGAATAAATTTAGAGATGGATCACCAGCGCCAACATGAATAAATTCATCTGAAAATTGTGTCTTGGAAGAATTCTTAGTATCCTTTGTGTCATCAAGAAGGTTACTAAATTGATTGTGTATTTTTATTATACTGTCAAAAGAAAGCTCCAGTTCCTCCCTTAGATGTAGTATATCTGCCTCATTCAGCATCAAATTTTCTTCATCCCTCAGAACAATGGTTGAACCTTTTTTGGTTAAGTTTTCATATTCTGTAGTATTCCTACACATACTTAACAGATCCAGAACGTCTACCTTGAGGGTTCTTAACTTTCCATTAGCATCGGAAAGGTTATTTTTGATAAGCTGAATCGTTGAATACGGACCACTCTGGCTCCTACGCTTATCTTCAAGTACTGAAGTTCCAACAATACATACAGGGTTATGCATACTCAACTGTATTATGTGCTTTTTTGTGTGAAGCAACTCTGCAATCGATTGTTGGAAAAAATATTTGGCCTCAGAGTAAGTGTCATTGATGTCCGACATTAAGGAGGAAAGGTAACTCTGAGTATCTCGAAACAAAGTGAATAATTCGCTGTCAGAATCTAAAGTCTGCAGCATTGATGTTTCAACTTGAGCCTGAATTTCTTTTAGCAATGAAACATTCGCATCAAACTGTGATTCTTCAGCAACAAACCCATTACTCTCCATGGAAAGCAACAGTTTCGACCCAGAAGCTAAATCTTCTGTTTGTTTCTTCTCATTATGCCCAAAAGAGGTTTGGAATTTAGTACTTACAGGATCACAATCTTTTCCTTGGCTTGGCTGATATTGGGGGAAGTCCATCTCAGCTCCATTAACCAGCAGCTTATTCACCCTTGCATGCTTTGTATTCACCATTTCATTCGACTTTTCTATTCCCATAAAAGCAGCATCATCTTGTTTTCCTTCTTTGATAATATGGTCATCAGCATACTCTACATTATCCTGTAATTCGTGGATCTTGAGCATTTTCTCATTCAATATTGCCTGCAAGTAGAGTACTTCCTTGGTTGTTTCATTATGCTCGAATTCATGGACTTCGGTCATGGCCAGCATTGCCCCTCTTAGGGCATTCAATTTAGAAGTCATCTCTAAACTCATCTTTTGTGCCTCCTCTAAATTTTTCTTCAGGTCCACTATTAACCTTTCCTTTTCTATGAAGATTTTCATAGCTCGTTCAACATGATCACTGATCCATGTTTTACTGTGGGGAAACGAATCAAGTATACTATTAATCTGACCAGAAGCATCTTCAAGTGACTGGCAACCATCTAAAAGGAAGCTAGTTAGATCAATGACTGCCTTCTCCCATTCTTCGGCCATTACATTAATGCGTGCATCTTTTGTATCAATAATATCCTTCAGTTCAGCAATTGCATTAGTAGCCTTGCATGACCTTTCCTTAAGTTCCTGGTTTTCCCTTGTCAAGATTGTTAAAGGATTTTCATCCAAAAAATCAGTAGCTTGTTGTGAAGAAACTTCTTTCTGGAGCACAGCTAGTTCTTTATGCAGGTTTGAAATCATTATCGCTATCTCCACCTCAATTTGTTCTCCAATTCGTTCCATTTCATAAGATTGGCATGATTCTGAAGAATTCTCTCTCTGAAGTTGTGTATTCAATCTCCTGGCCTCCATCAGTTCCCTTTGAACATTTTCTAATTTTGCATGTATCAATGACATCGTCGTGCTCCCAGACTGTGGAACATCATCTTTGTATCGATGATTGATAATTTTATCCATCCTCATGAAGGACGCCATCCCATCCCCAACACTATTGACAGCCACGTTCACCTCATCCTGCAGAATTGGTATTTAATCAGATATGATCTAATAATCAGAACTATGATCTCATATGATGATTGAGGCAAAAAGACAGGCTGATGAAGAAGAAAGAAACTCGGTCTCAGAAGCAAGTGTTTTGCGTCTGGCATAAAATATCAAAGAGACAGTGGGAATGAGTCAGCTAAACGTATATTCTCACAGGTAAAGGTCCTGTTTCTGCTCTCCTTCGGCTCTCCCTGCACAAATCATTCGTAACCTGAAGCAGAAGCAGAAGTCAATACAGTGCTTGTAGGCATAATTGTGACAAGACCCAAGTGGGTGAAAAATCACTCACATCTTGATCCATGGACTGTCGAGTTGACGACAGAGGTTCAAGTTGATCATTCAACTCATTAACTTTCCTGTAGACAGTGGACATGAATATGTTAGTATTGGTATGAAGGATTTACCCAGCTTAAGGTTTTGAGAATAGAAAAATGAATGCAATCTAAAGGAGAATATCTCTGTTCAAATTCTTCAAATGATTGACTGAAAAGATGTGTAATTTACTTGCGAAGGTTAGAGATTTCGAGTTCCTCATTCCCGTCAATTCATTGTGTTTGAGGATCAGTTATAAGATTAACCAAGTAATTTGCTGATTTCTTTGGCCTGAACTGACAATTTCAAGAATAAACTTGTCAAATTTTCAGCCTACAGTTAATTCCATCAAATCGTGAACCATTTTTTTACAAAACCAGTACAGCAAGATTAAGAACAGGAGCTTAGTCATTGATTTGGCAGTCAGGAAACAATGATTGATTAAATAATTAGATCGATATACCCTATGCTCTAGCGAATCTTCCTCTGAGCAGCAGGGCTAGAATTCTGGGAAAATTTGACACCTTTTTTAATTATCTGAACATAAAGTTTAGCTAGAATTAGAGCATCAAATCCTGCATCACTTGCTTATCTCATCTGTAATAAAACTAAAACTTAGCCACAAATGCCCCAATTTTTCGAGAGCAGAAGTTGCATGGTTTCCCGCATGTATATCTCTCCTCGGCTTACTAGCAATTGCTTCCCCGGTGAGCAGAGAACTATTGTCCCTCAGCTTGCGCAGAAATGTATGCGCTGATGGTCTTGAATGATATAAGCTACAAATCACACTAGAATATTTGTATAGTGCATTTCGCGCACAGAAATATGATTGAACAAGTCTGATCATAAAACCAAAATGAAATCCATGAAATGTCAACATAGGATATTCTTTTTGGGAGAAAAATTCAATAATAGAAAGACTTACATTCTAAACTGCTCGAAAAGCTCTGCATTCTCCTGTCCTAATCGAGTCAATTCTGGATTCCTATTCGTCTTCTCTTGCAACAATTGGATCTGTTCAATCGATGCATTATTCTTCTCCATGTGGTACCCATCACAAGACAAGCACCCATATGTCAGCGATTCTAGCCTTTGAATTGCCTCATCACGAAGATGAAGCGTCAATTTCGTTAGCTGAATATCTGCCTCCATTTTCTGGACCTAGAAACAAAGAAATGAGAGAAACAGATGATTACAACACCATGTGCCTCTGAATTTGTCTCGTCCTAAAGTCAAGCCCTTGCTGAGACTTATCTACCAGTAACCTCCATTCACATGTTAATTTTCCCGTTGATGTATAGAAACCCAATCACCCAAAATGTATAGAAAACGTCATAAGGTTATAAAGAACAGTTGACTTGTAATTTCTTATGAGTTTCAAATATGCACAGTCATCATACTTTGTCGAAATACTTTCCAACGACAAGATAATAAAATTCACCAAAAATATTACCACTAGTTTCATGTGTTCACTTTCAGCTTCAAGGCTCTTTGCTCTATCCTCAGCCGTTTTCTCTCTCCTCATGGAATCAGCCAATGCTGCTTTGAGGAATTCGATCTGTAGACCAAAACTATATTAAATAACCTAAGCCAGCATTCTATCTAATAAGATTAATTATTCGTTCAATGCAGCTGCGAAGATACATTGTGGTCTGGGGGAGGGCAGTTTTCTACTGAAGTCATGGAATCTCCTGAAAAATCACTCGTATCACGATTCTTGACCGCATTAGTTAGCTCATTTATCATGGCTTGTCCAAATGGAAGCCTAGGAATATTTTGATGTTCGATGACAATGTTCAGCTGATCCTGTATGATCAGAAGTTGAATAATTATATCAAAAATATGACAAAACCAAACAAAAGAAGAGGAAATAAAAATCCTACCCTTAATCTCTGAATCTCTCTCTGCAAAGCCATTACATCACCGGAAGCATCTTCATTCACCTTAGCCTAGGAAGTTAATAAAAAAGAATCAGAAAAAATGAATAGGATAGCAAAGGTCCATGACAATTGATTGCATCACCAAAGGTAATTTAAGTAAAATTCTTCAAACATGTACATTGTTTTGTATGAGCTTGGCTCGCTGAGCAAACTTGAGAGTGCTTAGCGTCTCATTCATAGAGCTGCACAGAAGCACCCGGCACAATAAGGATGTGATCAAATCACGGAATATCAGACCTAGAAGTGGACCCAAAAAAAAGGAAAAGAAAGGATAGTTTATACCAGATAGATGGACTAACATTTGCAATAATTGTCGTTTTAGAATTCCCTCCCAAAGAATCCTGAAACAGCAATAAGTTTGTAAAGCATCGATGGCATGGATTCATAAAAAGAATTTACAGTTAATAATTTGATATTGTCACCTGAAGAAGAAATGTCAATCGAGAATCTCTGTAGGGAACATGTCGTTGTTTTCCATTTGCTATGTCAACTAAAGTCATGATTACCAGCCTGAATTAAAGATGAGCACATGTGAGAAAATGAAGTACACAAATTTTGTTTCTTCTGTGGCCCAATGTGAATCATTTTCTACAGTAAGAGTCCTTTGAGAAATATGTATTTATAGTGCACTTTCAACTTTTCAGTTAAAATCGAAGTTTCTTCTCGATTTCTTCTTGCCTACGCCATTTAACTTTCAGTAGGCGCCCAGTTTAAAGCGTACAAACCCAATAACAACACCTCTGCTCAGCGCATTCTTAAAAAAACAGGATAATCTAAGGGTAGCTGTTTTTAAGTAGAAAGATATTAAGAGGAGTTTCCTCAACTGTTAATAATTGATTCTTGAACGTGTATGTACATTGCACCAGTAATAAGGTCATTGGGTCATAAAAATAGGAAACTATCACAATTGTCACCAAGATTTTGATTCTACAAATCTAGAAATTTGATAAAGTTACCCCAGTGTAGATAAAGATCTATTGATGTTTGCAGCTTCCTTCAAGCGCTCTCCCTCAGCCCCAGAGCTTTTCTGCCTGGTTCAGAAGATAAAATTGAGCCTACTTTAAAAGAAAATCACGACTTTTTGAGGTTCTGATTTAAGAATCGTGCATTCATTTACCTCTCTGAGCCAGCAAGATCCACTAAGTTCAACCTTCCAAACCGAATATGCACCATAGAATCTTTCTCCCATTGACTCTCAATGCTGCAGGTGAAAACACTGTGAGAGCGACTGCTTTCACTGTTCATACTTGTGGCAGCCATTTTTCGATTTGCTGTACCCTGAATGTATGCAGGTACAGTGAGTAACTGGAAGAATTCCATGATATTAGCTTCTCATTACAAAGAGGTAATTAGTTTCTCACTATCACCTGTAACAGAAGCTCAATTACGTCTTTCACAGTACTAACATCATGTTCCTTGAGATTTTCTACATATACACCTTTCTTCATATCCTCTCTCAACTGAAACATGAAACCAACCTCAATCAGAGATCCTCGAAGCAAATAAAAGAGATTGAACGGTTACGAAGTCGGAGGATCTTGCTTGTAGATTAGTTGATGAAGGATCCAGAAGATCTGTTATCTGCTCATTGTAGATCTCTAGGTATGAGCACTTGCAGACGTACTTTAGCTTCTCATTCTTCCGCTCTTCCTCTTCCTGATGAATTAATTACAAAGGGGGAATGGTTAGGGGATCGAAATGTACTCGGTCGTGGCAAAACAGACAAGCGGAAATTTACCTCCTTTATCCTTGCAAAAAGGTACTCAAAAATTCGAGGTGTCATTCCGCGATCATCACAGAGGTTGTCACCCAGCATTGTGTACGTTTTGCCGCTACCCGTCTGCAAAATAATGGTTAATGGTTATTTCCATGAGAATTAAGAGAAAGTCGAAGGCTGATGAAACCGATACCTGCCCGTAGGCAAACATGCAGCTGTTATAACCAGACATGCAATTCTCCACCATCGGTAGGCCAACGACATTGAAAAGCGTTTCCTGTTCATCGAGACTCCTCAACTCAGGTGTGCTAGAGGACTTAAAAATCGACAAGGAAATTGGGGAGTCACGTTCTTTCGGCAGACAGAGACTTCCTTCACTGAATCTCACCTGTGATGTGGTTTCACATGCCACGTGATCGAAGGTAAATCTTGTCTCAGGGTGCCCTGTCCATTTCAAGGTATGTGAGCTCTCCTGCGTCAAGCATCTCCCATTACCTTGCAATGCGCTCTCCGTACTGTTGATGGGTCGAATGCGTATCAAAACCTGGATCATGTAAAAAATTTAAACATTAATTCATCTACAGCGTAGAACCACAGAGAAAATTGGTAGTTGTATTACGCATGAGAAAGAACGCAGCTGATACCTGAACATTGTGATCATTCCAGAAGGACGTATCCTCGTCAAGCTCAAAGTGCCGGACCTCAGCTGATGGACAAGTTTTAAACTCAACCATCGTCCTCGCGGCCTTGGACGAGCCCCACCTCTCCCTAGCTCCAGAATGCGGAGGGAAACGACCGCCATTGCCACTACACAAACCTCCGTTTCCGCAGTGAGGCCTGGGCGTAGACTTCGTGGGAGTGCTCTGCGCCGACCTAGGGGTCCCCCCGTTCCACTTGGTCAGCAACTGTATGGTATCAGCCTTGGGAACTTCCAATTCACCAGGTGGAGCTCCCCTGGGGCTCTGGGAAGGGTCAGGAATTGAGAGGAGGGGCTCCCTCGGAGGTGGGAGAGTGAAATCATCTGGCACTCCATCAGAGTCGTTCTCGTTCCCCTCCGGCGACCGGGCCTTCCAGACGGCCCCCCGAAGAGAAGCCATGATTGAATCTGAGCTAAAATGGGGCCGGATTCCGACGAAGAACCTCCGGAAAACTCTGAGATTTAGAGAATCAGAGATGAATTTCTACCAGGAGAAGTATCGGGACCGGCATCTGTCTTCAGATCTGAACCCATTCCAGTCGCCGGCTGTGCGGTCGGTGAGACCTTGAGCGCTTCCCGTTCCGAAGATGGCGAGATGGCCTCCCCACTGCCGCCCAAGAAGTTTTCAAATTATAGTAAATATTCACAGAATACCCCTAAAGTAATATTATTTACGTAACTACTTTTATACAGGCAAAATATATTTTTACCATATCCACACAGGTTTTTTTTTTTTTTTTTGAACACATATTCATTTACATGCCCTCATTTGCTGAAGGCATCTTACGATTATGTCCTAATCTTCGTATGAAATCTTCGTTTTCATAATATTCCTGATTTCTTCTATGTTCCCATTTTCTTCATTTACGACTGAAAAATTCACTTATGTATATAAACCTTTGGAAATTATGTCAGAATCCCTAATTAAATCTTAATTCGCAAAAATACTAATATTTTGTAATAATTTGTCACCCATGTTTTCTTATTTACTTCTACACTTTACATATTTACCACAAAAGTGCACTGAATTATTTTACTTTTTTAATCTAAACCTTTGGCCATAAAACTCTCTCTCATACACTTCCATAATTGATGAACAAATGTATATTTTATTTACCATCAATAATTTCGACTATATCTATACCCTACAAAAATACACCAATTTTTTTCCTTTTATGGTAAAACTCTCTCTCTCTCTCCCTTTCTCTTCCCCGCTCCCTCTCCCTCTTTCTCTGTCTACAGCCCGGGACCACATATGGGTTTACCTCAGCTAACTCCGAGGCATTTTCTTCGGATCTGGCCCGAATAATAACGACCGGGCTCGGCCCGCCGACACGTCATATAGTTGCTTATACTCGAGATTAAGAGAACAACCAGAGGACCTTTGGATACGTGGACCACTCACAGCTCCAAGCGGTCTTATTGACGAGACTCACGGCCAACTTCTCGATTGGCACCGTCCCGGTGGCGGCCGCAGCGGCGGTCAAAGCTTGCTCGCCGCCGCCCTGGCAAACAGCGGCGGTGGCGGCGGCGCCTTGGCCTTGCGGCGGGCGGCGGCGGCGGCCTGGAGGAGGTCCACAACCCGCAGCACCTCGTCCATATTCCGGCCGGTGGTCGCCGGGTAGACAATGCTGAGCTGGATCTTCTTGTCCGGAGAGATGACGTGGAGGGCCCGGTTGGGGATCTCGAAGCCCTCCTCATCCACCTTGTCCGGATCCACCATGTTCAGCTCTCGGATCACATCTCGGTCCGGATCCGCCACTATCGGATACGTCACCTTGCACCCCGGCTTCACCATTAAAAAACAATCCAAAAAAACGAAAATAATTAGTAAGCCATAAAAATAGACACATTTGCAAATAAATTTAAATATGGGTATGGAATTAATTAGGAGGGGGGGCTGACCGTGTAGTGCTCGATGTCCTTGATCCAGAGGAGATGGGACTTGACGTCCTCGCAGGAGACCCCGAGAAGCTTCACCCTCCTCTTCTCGAACTCCCCTACCTGAAGCGCCATCCTCCCCAGCTCCGTCGTGCACACCGGCGTGAAGTCCCCTGCTCCGGCACCGCCGCCGCCGTTCCCACCGTCAGACGGAGAAATAGACGGCCGGCAAGGAGAGAGAATAGAAAGGGAAGACGGAGAGAGAGAGAGAGAGAGAGGTACCTGGGTGGGAGAAGATAACGGCCCAGCTGTCGCCGACGAAGTCGTGGAGCTTCACCCGGCCATGGGTGGTGTCCACCTCTAGGTTGGGGATGGTGTCTCCGATTGTCAGCCCCGGCATCTTCCCCTCTCTCTCTCTCTCTCTCTCTCTCTCTCTCTCGGGCGGCGATGATATGAAGCTCCGGCGAGAAGCTGAAATAATGGAGGGCACGTGTCCAGTGCACGCACCGTGCTTGCAGACGTCATCAGTGAGGTCATCCAGAGCATGTTGCATTATGATTATTATAAGAATACGAGATGGTCCATCGCTGAGCTGCCAAACTTCCTTTCGATTTAATTTATTGCGTAAAAAATAGGATTCCGGGAAATAGGATAATTGTCTAAGTATCCTTTAATAAGTATAAAATTACACCTCGTGTCCGGATCATATGACCTGTGTTTTGTTCCTAAATTCACTTTTTGAAAAGGGTATTTGGCAATTGGCAAACCTCCTGTCCATGGGAGGGATGGTTACTTACATGGCTCGAGCCATTTTATTTTTTTTAAAAAAAATATTAACAATCCAAGTAACGTTTTTTTTAAATTATATATTTTTAATTTTATTTCATTTTAATTGTTTAATATAGAACCAAAAAACTGCATTAGGGATTTTAATGTAACATAAAAAATAATATTTTTTGAACTTTTTTCTAAGCTTAACTAAGCTGGGCGGGGCATCCCACTCAAGTTCCATTTTCTTAAAAACAAATTAATCGTTTAATTTTTTATTATAAATATAAAAAGGAAAAAATGGTTGTAATTAATGTACTTATAGCTACTTGTACTACTATTCCTTCTAGAAGATCATTGTACGTTGGATAAACACGGGAAGATTCCCTTCTCACTCATCACCCCACGCCAGCACGTAGCTCATTGAGTCCACTAGGCCACGTGGTCTGGAAGCCTGGGCCTGGCACGCGCCGAGGCCACGCAGGCTATTTGGATTTTTGTCGCGTTCACACAGGAATCCTTCGCATTCTATCTCGAGTAAAGATGCAAATATACCTATTAAAAGGTAAAAAACGATAAAAGCTCTAAACATATATAATTAAAGAAAATGCTCGGACTTTCCAGCTCATCAGTGGGCACACTTTTTCGTATTTTATTAATAAAAAGAGGTAGGGGTGCAGAGGATGACCTCAGAGATGACGTGTTAGGTTCATGCACTTGGCACGTGGGCCTCCGTCCCCGACCTCCCCACCTTCACTCTCCCGGCGTCGTGCCCCTTCTATTTCAGCTTCTCGCCTGAAATACAGGTCTCCTCAGAGCTCCTAGAGAGAGAGAAGAGAGAGACAGAGGGAGAGAAGATGCCGGGGCTGACCATCGGAGACACGATTCCCAACCTGGAGGTGGAGACCACCCACGGGAGGCTGAAGCTCCACGAGTACGTCGGCGATGGCTGGGCCGTCATCTTCTCCGACCCAGGTAACTGCTCCTCCTTCCGCCTGCTACTTCCTTCTTCCTTCCTCCCTCCTCCCCTCATCCTCAACGCCTCCGCAGGTGGGTCCACTCCGGAGCTCGCGAAGATGGCGCAGTACGAGAACGAGTTCCGAAAACGCGGCGTGAAGCTCCTCGGCGTCTCCTGTGGCTTCGTCGATCCCTTCTCTGTAAGGCCTCATTCTCCCGCCGCCGCCGCCGCCTGATCGCCGCCGTGAAATTCCTTGATTCTTCTTCTTCTTCTTCTTCTTCTTCTGTAGAGCAAGGTCTCGTTCCCGGTTGTGGTGGACCGGCGGCGGGAGGTGATCCGGGAGCTGAATATGGTGGAGCCGGAGGATAAGGACGACGACGGGAGGGACCTGCCGTCGCGGGCGCTGCACGTGGTGGCGGCGGACAAGCGGATCAAGCTCAGCATCGTCTACCCGGCGGTGGCGGGGCAGAACGCCGGCGAAGTGGTGCGGGCGGTGGACTCCCTGCAGGCGACGGCGAGGCACCGGGTGGCGACACCGGTGAACTGGAAGCCCGGTGAGCCAGTGGTCATCTCCCCCAGCGTGCCCAAGGAGGAGGCCGATCGGATGTTCCCGCAGGGATACCACACCGTCGACCTCCCCTCCAAGAAGTCCTACCTCCGTCTCACAAAGCTCTGACTGATGAACGGTGATGGCCAGAGTCAACGACCGTTGACTTCCGATATAATAAAAAAGTCCACTTGATGGACGGTGGGGATTTAGTGACTTTTTCCCCTCCTTTTTTAATTAAATAACGAATTATTAAATAAATGTGAAATTATTATCACTCGTAAACCTAAGAAACGTGATGATCGCCTTAAAACATGATATTATGGAATTATTTTCGTCAATATTATGGATAATTAATAGTTTTTTGTGGGCAAAAATCCTTCAAATTTGCCATACAAAATATTTATATTACTTCAAAAAATCCAGATGGCTCTACCTCACAAACCAAATCTCATGAGGTTATTATCACAATTATTAATTCTTAATGTGGAAAATGGTCATTTTTGTAGATTGATACAACGAGTGGCATGGATTAAATGAAAACGGGTGTCTAAAGTTAAAAGGTAGGCAGGCAAATCAAATATCATGGAAGGACTAAATTCAAAAATAGTAGAGAGAGAGAGAGAGAGATGACATAATAAAGATGATGGCCACTTTGCTCACCTAATGCTTCTTAGGTGTTGGGTGAATTGGTCCAGAACAACAAGCCCCATGTGACCAAAAAAGTTAACTTGATAGTTCAAAGGTGAATTCATACATAGGGTCTGAGTCACTCTATATAGATCGGGTTTATGCGGGTGATTAATTCCACTTTCAGTGTGAGATTAATTGTCTAATCACTAGATGATACCATGCTCTTAATGTCATATGTATGATTTTACAGACATACACCAGCTTTTGGAAAATAGTGGGAGTGAATATGTGAAGAGAGATGTCGAGGCAACATGAGACGGTTTCAACAATCAGCTGAGTCATCTTTCAATATGAGCCATTGAAACGGGGGATGGCTTTGAACGGAGGCATAAGCCATAATCTACAGCTAGGGGGTTATCAAGAATATTCCAGGAATATTCCAGTAATATAATGGGCATTCATGATCATGTATGCTTGGTGATGCTCCAGGTGAGGCAGCCCCTAAGGGCTCAGAGGAATATAGAAGACTGGTATTCAGCAATGGTACATGATCTTGAGAATTTCTGAAAAGGGAACCTATAGAGATGTGCACATTAATGTAATTACCACTTTAAAGTTTTTTACATAAAAAAGCATATTTAATTCCTCTATTTTTTTCCATTTGGGTTTGCTTGAATAAAATAGTCTGATATGACCGTACATTATTTTTTTTTATAAGAAAAATTATCTAAAAATGTTCTTGTAGAGTGAGAGGATTGCTTACATCTCATCTCTCAGTCACTGTGAGAGATTTTATTGAACTGAGTTATTGAAGGTGGCAATGTTCGATGTGGACAGGCAGGTGGCTTCACACACCCAGGTAAAATCAGAAGACAATAAATGATCAGTTCATGTTCATGTTCATGTTCATGAAAAGATGCAGATTTTTACATCCATTTGCTAACCTTAGTAGCAAAGTAGACGGATCAAAGGAGCTGAAAATCTTCATTTCGGTTCTTCTATGTCCCATGCTGATTCACTAGGGAGTACAGCTGCTTGAAGATAGACGACATGGGAAGCATTGCAGGCTTTCTTCTTCATCCACTTCACCTGGGAGACAAATCAGCAGTTTGAAAAGCCATGTGGATCTTTAGTATGGGGAGGATGTGGCCCTCCCTACAGACTAGAGCTTATGAGGCTGTCTTCACAGCTACTGATTCCCAATATAGAAAATATTCATTTTGGTATGAACTGACTAGATTCAGAATAGCAGTATTTCTGTGTCAAAGTATGTGGATATTTCTTTATTTAACAACATGAACCTCGATTTGAGAGTAGCCCTTATGCTTGAAAGGATGGCACTATATAATTCACTGTGGGAGACATGAGAAGGGCGACCAGAAGGAAGAACTTACATTGATATTGGAACTAATGGCTTGCTATTTTGATAGCCGAGTTGATTATATTCGGCATCAACAAACCTATGAATGTAAATGAAATGAAAGTTGATCTATGATCTCACCTGCAAGGAAAATTATTTTTCGACTAAGTGAATCAAAATTTGTACGGAAAAATAGATTTTTCTGTGCATGTGTAGCTTGGAAAATTTATTAAACCCGATCTCAAGAAACATATGGAAAAAAAATTGAAGACGAATCCCGTTGCTAGCAGGAAGATAATACGCTTCAATCCCATCTCAGTAATGGTGTTAAGCTTCATAGAATATCCACATGAGCAGTAGGCTGTAACATGGTGTCAGCCAAAAATCAAAACAGAGGACGTTATAGAATAATGCATTCTAACTGCAATATAATCTCTAAATCAAGCTAAAAAACAAGGTATTCTTCTATCCATATGGACCCATGAATGAAATCACAGTAAAAAAAAAAAAAGGTTAAAATAAATTCATTTTTGATGTTTGGTCCATATCTCAAGGAACTTTTTCTCTCCTTGTGACTAAATTATATAAGCTCCATATGGGCTTGATAGAAATTGTCTAATATTAACATGACTTTGTCAAAAAATTGAAGTCAATTCAAATCCGGATGGTAGGCTATTTAAAATGAAGTTCCCCAGAATTGGCCGAAACCAACATTCGCCCTGATCCATCATCCTTCAAGACATTGGCTGATCCAGATTAGGTTATCTAACCAGGATCAAACTTGTATATATTGCTACACAGACGATCCACGCCGATTCTAGGCCAGGATTGAACTTATACACAGTCAAAGAAGGGCGATTCATGCCTATTATAAGCCTGGACCAGGTAACATTGACTCGAACTGATAGAGGGTTTATATTTTATTGATTACGATTTTAATCAAATTTTAAGTACCATATGAGGTACAAAACGCCCAATCACTTCTTAATGGATGGCTCATTTATCATTAGGACTATGACTACCATGCTAACTGTATATATCAAGCTAGATAGCAAAGCTAGTCAGCCTGGAAGAAAGAAAATAACTATGTATGGAACAAGTATAGGCATGTTCTATCTGCAATGGTGAATATGAGAATGGGAGGAAGATCTATGCCACATTTCTCCCAAATGTGATTTGGCTTCTCCATTGAATATCAGAATTGTGAGGAGAATATGCTCAAACAAGATACTTTGCAAGGGATAAATAGAGAGAATGAGCTTTCACTACATTACTTGTTTCGTGAAAGCTTATTGTTCTTGACGAAGGTTAGACAGATCTACAGAAGAGGGGACTACAGTGCAAACTACTTGGGGATAGTCAGTGAGAGCAACCTGCGAGAGCTACTGCAGTCTTTACTTTGGAAAAGGTTTATAGATAATACATAGAAATAATTGGATGTCACAAAAATAATGTAAAAATAAAATAAAATAAAAATTGGAAGAAAACTAGGGGCAACCATAGAGTGAAATACAAGCACTTAGCATATGGTCAGAATAATTTGATCAATTTCCTGCTCACTGTCTCCTAAGAATGATGAAGAGCCTGTCAGGCACATTATTGTTGCAGCCAAAACAAGTAAATCAAACATGAAAAAAAAGAAGGGATATTTCCTCAGCTCTTCAACCTTATCAATGAAATAAATAAAAAATGATGCCTGCAGTGGCACAAGTATTTCCTCTGTGGGGGGGCACTGATTCAGAAAGTACAGAAATATTATATCGGCTCAGTAAGTTTATTATTGTGTTAAAAAAATAAATTCTATTAAAATAAATGAAATAAATAAATAAATTCTAGAGAAGCAGTCACATCAGATGATATCACTGTAAGGCTCCTGAGGAAGTGCTGGATTCAGAAAGTACTGAAAGATTACAGCGGCTCAGTAAGTTTCTTGTTGTCTTTATTTTTTTTCTATTAAATAAATGAACAAATAAATTTCTTAATGGATTAAATCCGAAATTGACATTTTATGTCTGCAAGATGGAGTTGGAAGTTTTATTCTATACACTCCAAGAAAAAAAGATTATAGAATCAAAATAAATAGACCAGCCATTTTCATTTCTCTTCTCTGCCCCACATATTTCATAAAGTGACCACTGGCAATACCAAACTTTTCCCAAATAAATCAAGGAAAGTAGTCTAATTTTTCCAATTAAAATTTAAAATAAAATAGAATTATAACTCAAATCATACATTAATATATTTATCAGAAAAAGGCTCAAAATCTCCAAATGGGTATGGAAGAAAATGGTCAAAAACGGAATATATTTCTCAAACACTGCCAACGTGCTACCAAGAAGATGAACCCCAAGAACGTATGATACGCATTGGAAGATCATAAATAATCTGCTTTCAATTGACAGGAGAACCGTACGTCCAACAACCGCTGGCTAAAGTGCCGGCTACTGGCACGGATCCGGATCCGAAAAGCGTCCGGTGTGAGGCTCACGCTTTTCCGTTTGTATGTACCGGAGTAGGACAGAACTACAGTCCACGCGTCCCATAGCCAGCCCGAGAAGCGTCCTTTCACACGGACGCAAGCAACTTGGTGGAAGGTGTAACTCATCGTCCCACGACAGATATCAGGATCGACACAAAGACGGGTTTTTTATCTGGTGCACCCACTCTCTGGCCTTTCCTTCAGCCTCTCTGCACTGGTCTATCTCGCTCCGGCCCGTCGCCGCTTCCATGGAGGACTGCCTACCCGGCGGCGCCATCGTTTTTGCCACCGTCGGCGTCCAATTGTATGGCTTCGACGTCTTCTCCGTTCCCGTCGGAGCCGCTGCCGGCGACCGACCGCCGGAGACCCGCCATACTGATGGCGTCTCCGTAAATTTCAACGGCCAGTTCCTCGAGGACGACGGCCCCCAGGGCGTGGCGTTCGTCTCCGAGAGGTCCGGCTCCGCCCGGCCTTTTCTCGCGCGGATGGGCCGGCCGGAGCCGCTCCCCCACTTCCAGGCGAGCCTCCACCACGACCGCCCCGTGGTCCGCAACGGCGTGGTCTACCTCGCCTCCGCCCATGAATGGCCGGCGGGGGGCCTGTTCCGGAGCTGGTCGGCGGTGTACTCCGCTCCGGTCGATCGGCCGGATGCGGTGACGGAGAGACTTACTCCGGCGGGCAACGCCGACCTCAGCCCCGCCGTCTCCGCGTCCGGCGAGATACTGGCTGTGGCCTCGTACGGTTCGAGCCACTGGAAGGGCGACTTCCACGAGCTGCAGACGGAGGTGGTCGTGTTCCGACGCTCCGACCCCGCCAGGCGCGTGCCCGTCTCGGGCGGCCGCGGTGGATGGCCGGCCTGGTCCGGTGACTCCACGGTGTTCTTCCACCGCGTGGCGGAGGACGGCTGGTGGAGCGTGTTCCGGGTGGACATCATTTCGGAGCTCGACGTGGTCGGACCGCCGCGTCGTGTGACGCCGCCGGGGATCCACGCGTTCACCCCGGCGGCCTCCCGCTATGGGAACCGCATCGCCGTCGCCACCCGCCGCCGGGAGTCCCAATTCCGCCACATCGAGCTCTTCGACCTCAAAACAGAGGAGTTCCTCCCCGTGACGGCTCTGGTCAACCCGGACTTCCACCACTACAACCCTTTCCTCTCAGACTCCGGCGACCGCCTCGGCTACCACCGGTTCAGGGGAGAGGCAGCCGCCGGTAGCGACTCCGTCGTCCCCCATCTCTCCCCGGTGGCTAGCCCCGTGGCCGGGCTCAAGATGGCTCGAGTGTATGGCACCTTCCCTTCCTTTTCCCCCGCCGGCGACATCATCGCCATTAACGGCGACTTCGAGTCCGGCCCCGGGTTGATGATCCTCAGCTCCGACGGGTCCCGGCGGTGGCCTCTCCTTCAGAAGTCCGCCGCCTTCCACACTTCCTGGAACCCCGCCGAGCGCGGAGTAATCTACACCTCGTTAGGCCCCATCTTTCGAGGTTCCGAAGTGACCGTCCACGTAGCCCGGATCTCCTTCGACCCGGCCAGCCTTGAACATGTCGCCGACGGCGATCTAGTTCCCTCGGAGGTAAAAATCCTTACCAGGGCGGACACCCGCAACAACGCTTTTCCTTCCTGCTCGCCGGACGGGAAGTGGGTGGTCTTCCGCTCCGGCCGCTCCGGCCGGAAGAACCTGTACATTATGGACGCCACCAAGGGGGAGACCGGCGGCGGAGAGATCCGCCGGTTGACGGACGGCGATTGGATCGACACGATGCCTTGCTGGTCTCCCGACGGCGAGCTGATCGCCTTCTCCTCCAACCGCCACTCTCCGAAGGACCCAGAGGTCTTTGGGCTCTACCTGGTGCGGCCGGACGGGGAAGATCTCCGGCGGGTTCCAGTGGCGGGGCCGGACGGCTCAGAAGAGGCTCGGAGAGAGCGGAGCAACCACGTCTGCTTCAGCCCCAACTCCAAGTGGCTTCTCTTCACGTCGAACATCACCGGAGTGGTGGCTGAGCCGGTGGGGTTGCCGAACCATTTTCAGCCCTACGGGGACCTCTTCGCTTGCAGGACGGCAGACGGCGGCGGACTACGGCGGCTGACGTGCAGCAGCTACGAGAACGGCACGCCGACCTGGGGGGAGGAGAGAGAGGACCTTGCGGCGGACGTTGGGCGGCTGCCCTTGTGTGGCGTCGCCTCCGGAGACAAGCTCAGGGGCCAATTTGTGGAGCCTATGTGGTTAACTTGTGACCTGTAAATGCCTAGAAATCTATGCATGTTGTATTAAATTAAATCTATTCTTGAATATTTGGATTACGTTAATAAATAAATTGTCTTATAAATTTGGACAATTTTACTCACACAAAAAACAGTATAATTTTGACTTATTGTTCGTAATAATCATTCATTAAGATTGGCTTTTTAAAATGCCATTATATTTTTCATATTTCATACGCCTTAAATTATAATTAGAAGTTTTTATCAAATAAATCATTAGGAGGCATAAATAATGTGGACAATCCGCCAATATTAGTGATAATAATTGCATAGTATTATATTTTGAAATAATTTCTCATTTTTTGTCTCACGAGTGATCACATTGTTAAAGTAATTTGTATCAGCTAACTACATGGATGCTTACGTGAGAATATTATCAATATTATTTGACAGAAAATATTTTGAATGTATTTTATTAAGTAAAATGTTTGGAGCATAGGGTATGAAGGTGATATATCAAGAAAACTATAAGGTGAATGGAACATAGAAATCCATTGCTGACTGTGTTGACAGCATTTGCATACTTGATGGGTTGAAGATAATCAACTTGGGTACTAAAGAAGAAATCGTGCTACACATGAAAAAAGCACTCCAACAAATAGATAGCCTTTGGAGTGGGGTAGAGAGAGAGAGAGAGAGAGAGAGAGAGAGAGAGAGAGAGAGAGAGAGAGAGAGAGAGAGAGAGAGAGAGAGAGGTTCAATAAGAGTAGAGTGCTCAATTGGAAAGGCCTGATTAGTGGGGTGTTTACGTTGGAGGGTTAGGGCCCAAGATAATGCATAATAAGGTCCAAGCCCAAGGTGTTACACCTTGACAAGGACATAGGTGCTAAGGTGCTAAGGTGCCTCTTACTCCCCAACTAGCTCACCTCTCACAAAGTAAGGATCTTTCAAAGAATATGCAAGTGAGGTTCATCATCATTTTCAGGTTGATCGGGCCCCTCTATTTATCATGAGTGTCCCTCTTAGCCGTTACCCATGGTGGGTGACTATTGCCCTTACTGTTGGGTAACCGTTGGGGTGGCACCTTGTCATTCCCACTGCCCTTGGGCTTGTTCTGCCTATTGTGTTGACTATTTGACTTGCCGACATGCACACATTTGCATTTCCCCCATCGCATAAGAGTGGCTGTGTCCCCGCTTTGCCTATACAACTTGCTCTCCTTGTGCATTCCGAGTTGCCCATGCATGTCGTGCTTGTGTGCATCATGCTGCTTGCACACATATTGCTGCCCATGCATTCCTCACAGCTAGAGTACCTTGCTGCATCCCCACATACCACGTCCACGTAGGGCCTTGTCATTTAGTTATGACATTCTCTCCCACATAGAAAGTTCAACATCTTCATTAGGATGGAGGTGAAGTACTACTCTAATTGGACTTCAAACTATCATAGGTCTTTTTTCAGATGCCAAGATGCTTCTTGTGATTCACCTTCTCATTAGATTATGAAGTTCATCCATCAGTAGAGGTTGTGCTGTCCTTCTCCGTCAATTACTTGATGTTTGAGTATCTTGGTGTTCCCTTTCACAACATTTTGGTCGATGTCGATAGTTGTCTCTTGGATTGATTCTATTGTGGTTCTATCTCATTTGACTTATATTACTTGAGCAGTGATATGTGGAAGACATAGTGGATCGGTAAGTACAATAGTAGATTTAATATGTAGGGGACCACACCAATGTGGTCCACTGTGGGGAAAGAGCTTTCATTTATAGACAATGTATTCTTATTCTTTGAGGTATTATGTGCACACTAGTAGATCTTTGGGTACATCCAAAGCAGTACTTTCTCCCTCACATGAAATTTCAACTTCTAACAATATCAGTTGGCTTGTTTTTTCATTGTCAATGGCTCTATGCATATTGTCTTTTGCCTCTTCCAACATCTCCATGTGGTAATGTACTAGTATTGACATTAGATAGCATAGGTTCACCACATCGAATAGTTGCATAACATCAATGATTGTCGGCCCATTGCTAGTTAAAATGGGGAATATCTAGTAACACTTCTACGTTCTAGATTATATGCCAATTTTACTGTGTTTAGTTGTCTCACCCTATTATCTTGTGAGGCTAAAACATAATATCTTAGGTATTAATGTGACCTAATCATTATATAATAAATCACATAATTTAAAATTTTAGAACTAGAAAATATTAAATTTTAGATTTTTAAAAATATTTCAGCACAAATAAATAAATTATAATTTGTAAAAGGTTTTGAAAATAGTAGAAAGTTTACTGATCATAATGATGTAAGATAATACTAGGTAAAATTTTATTTTTTTTAAGTATATGATTTTTAATAATTTTTAAACTAAATGGTGAAGATAAAAATATATTTTCAAATTTAGAAAAAAGAAAATTTTAGGTGTGGATGTTAGGGTGATGTCATCATCCTAACAAACATGACTCAAGTAGAAATAAATATATGTCTGACGATTCTTATGTAAATGATTATAAATGATTAATTGATTAAATTAAGATCTTTAAAAGTCAAAAGAATCATATTGACTAAATAATAGTTTTTAAACTTGAAGTACATAAAATCTCATGAGGGCTCAAAAAAGACAATTTTAGTGTTGTAGTGACGAATCATTGAGTAGAATTATCAAACAATATTAACAACATCAAAGGCTCTCCTTGGACATTCACAATGTGGACAATTTCTACATCATTTTGCAAAGTTCATAAATTGATATAATAGATCAATGAATCATCTTTGATGGCTATCATATGATGGAGTAAAATTTGATAACTTTTAGATATATGGTAAAATGTGAGATCTAAAGTGATGGTATGCCAAAGTCCTCTAGGATAGATAATGATTATAGTAGACCAGCTTGACATTGATGTTCTTATCTTGTTTTGTCAACATATGAGACATGACTCAACATATATTTTCTAGTTCTGACTAGAAGTAGTCCCGACTAAGTAATTCCTATGTGCACTATTGTCTTACGAGCCCCAACCACGATGGGTGGTGTGCCTTTGTGATCAATGTATATAAGGTAATTGTCCCGTCAATATCATCTTGTTGTACCTTGTTATATCCAGTCTAATAGTTTTAGGCTTGTGCTCGCATGTCATCTACTCAACATGTTCACAACTATGTTCTATCCTCCCAGCTTGTACTATATTGTAAAATCAAATTTGGCTAGCTGGTGTTACCTTGCTTGCTAATACGTTAATCTTAACTATGTGTTGAGATAGGTTGTCATCACGTTGTTAGTATAGAGTGTGAAATGACTTTTCAATAGATAATGAATCCACATTTTGAGGTAGTAAATGTCAATCATCTTCTATTTATAGGTTGTATTATTACATTCTGCATTGTCGAACTTCTAACTATCAAAGATGACATGGTGTGCCTTTTGATTGAGGACAATACCCACAATGTCATTGATGACATTAATGTGGACCATAAATAGGTTGGTTGATTTCAAAGTTATAAAGGCCTTTGCACACTACTTTGATCACCTCCATTGTTCTTGTTTGTATAATAAGCTAGTGAAGGGGTACAGCCACCCTTGAAAAACCTTTAATGAATGTCTTGTAATAATTGATAAGGTCTAAAAATGACTTTAGTGTCTTGACACTCGTTGAGATTAGTAATAGTTTCATTGCCTCTACCTTGGAGTGGTGCATTCACACTTTCCCTATATCAAAATCAATAAGATGTCTCAGGAAGTTAATTTCAATTGTTATGAACCAACATTTCTTCAAGTTTAAGTGTAGTTCGTGTCAGTAGAGAAGAGTCAACATGATAGAGTGCTCCTAGTACTCTTGTAAATTCTCACTGTAGATTAGCATGTTGTCTAGGTAGATGATTACAAAGATGTTTAAGTACGACTAAAAGATATTATTCATTAGTATGTAGAAAGACATCATTGTGAACTCAAAAGACATCACTTTGATTCCCCCCTTCTCTAATCTGCACATGATGATAACCTTTTTTCAACTCAAGCTTTGGGATGAGTATGGCAGCTCCCAACTGGTCAAAGAGATCTTCTACGTTTCGTATGCGATAATAGTTGCAAATCATGAGCTTGTTTAGTGTGCAGAGTTCACATATGACCTTAGGGTATCATCCTTCTTCTTCTAGAATAAAATGGGCATTAAATTGGTGTGGATAGTGTGAAAATGAACATAGTCAAAATAGAAAGGTGGGTAAAACTCTATAAGATTAAGAAAGTAAAAATAGTAATTTAAACTAGAGTCATGGAGAACTAAAATATAAAAAAGGGAATGGCCAAAATCTTCAAAATAATACAAAACAAAATGGGTGGGATACCATCCAATCTTTCATGAGGAGAGATATTTGTTTGACTAGTGAGCTATGATTGTAATTACATCTAGAGGAAGTTTTAAGATAATTGAGAATTCCACTACACACTAAATGATTGTAAACACGTGTGAACTTTAGGTGATCAATTAGAGCTAACAATAGAAAGACAGATCTCAAAACATCACACAACTACACCAAACTATTAAAGCATCTTTTATGAACCATATTAGTATTTTGTAATCTACAATGGGAAGAAGATGTTGATTCAAGAACATCATAGTCTTGATGAAGAGGAAGTATTGTATTTAGGTGAAACTAGACCTTGTGGGAGTACTAAATGCATAATCATTAAGATTAACCAAAATATCATATTATGCCTAACTTTTAAAATAATGATATCATATATTTAAATGTGATTGTATTCATGACCCATTTTCATGAATGCATTTATTTTTTTGATTTCATCATGTGGAATTATTCTTTAGTATATCATTGTGAAAATTATTGACACTCCTAAATATATTATAGTGAGAAAGTAATGATCATGACATTCTAATCAAAGAAAATTCATGTAATAAGTATGAAAGTGTAGTCTATTATGTACCCATGATGTTATATAATTAATTTTTTAATTATTTTAATATCAAATGAATTGATTAAATTTATACTATTTATTCTACCATGTAGGAGATTGTGATTCAATGTCTACTTAATAATTGTATTTTATTTGAGGTGATTTTGTAATTTTTTTGGGTAAATCATAATTTATTTAGATGTATTATCAATTTTATTTTAATGACATCGAATCTTTATGAAATTGGTTCAAGGTCAGATATATGTTGGATATATATATATATATGTTGTACTTTAATAGAATCACATACTAGTTTCTTATGTGGATACTCAACCCTCTAAATAACATATCATATTTGATATTTAGTCATTCCAATTTCTAACTATTGAAGCTGCCGTGTTCACTAGTCATTGGAGAGGGCACTAATGGTGGCAAGAGAGCTATTGGCTTGTGGCATAGGAGAGAGAAAGGTAAAGGCAAAAAATATAATTAGTTATATGAGAAAATAGATACTATTTATATTAGGACAAGCTTAGTGGGTCAAATTTAGTTAACCAGTTTTCACTTATGTCAAACTGGATCTAACAAACCCATGAGCATAAAAGATACAAACATAAGAATAATATACATATATATACACATACACACAAGTAAAGAATAATTCTAGCATGTGAAATATTATGTTTTTTGGCATTCTTCCTCAAATTGGTGAATACATAGTGTTCTATCCTATCTTTAGAAAATTACTCCAACTGATGAGGATAATTGCTAGTTGCTCATCTCTTAAGTGACTAAAATTTAATCACAAGTTTATCTCATGAAAGATAGGACAGATTTCATCGTGAACTATTTGATAGAAGATGTGGTTGACTTAGAGTGTGGAATTAGTAGGGAGTGTTGAACCAATTATGACCCTATGTTGACCTCTTCACTTACAAGGCGGTGGATGATAATGGGCTCTAGTGACTGATGTGCAGCAGCTATAAGAATGACATGCTAACCTGAGTAGGGGAGAAAGAGGACACAATGGTAGAAATCTAGTACCTGTCTTGGGTGGTGTTGCCTTGGGAGACAAGTTGAGCAGCCATTTTGTGGACCCTATGTGGCCAACTTGTGACCTCTATTCATTTAATTCCTCTATTTGTTTCCATCTGGGTTGAAATTCTGAGTTACCTAGTACCATGTAAGCCTAAAATCTTCTGATATGACCTATAATTTTAAGAAAAAATCTCTTAAAAGGTTATTGTAGAGTGGGAGGGTTGATTGAGTACCGTTACTTAGTTATAATGAAAAACTATGTTGACAGAAAATGTTGAAGCATGAAACATGGTGGCAATGGTGGATTGTGGGTGCTCTCTACTTCTTGTTTGTTAAAGCCAGTGTCAACTCAAAAAAAAGAGGTAAAAGAATATTAAAAGAATAGAAACCATATACTACCTAGTTATATAGGTAGATGGTTCAATACACCCAAGTAAAAATCATAATCTATTATATAATTAGTTCATGTCCATGAAAAGATACAGATTTTGACGTCCACCTACTAAGAATAGGCAACAAAGTAGATGGATCAAAGGAGCTGAAGATTTTTGTTTTCAATTCGAGATGATGATGAGAAGGCTACTAATGAGACATCTCAAACATTAGTTTAATAGTGACTTGTCTAAAGACTTTACTTCTTAAATACTTATGTTATATGTTGTTTTCTTGAGTTCTACTAAATTCTTAGTGAAGTATAAACTGAATCAATGGCTTCAACAATCTTGAAAACTAATATTAATAGCCCTAAACAACTCAGGACTCCACTTATGAATCCTATCTCGATTCATGGTTATAAAGGGCCAAGAAAAGAAACCCACTCCCTTTGCCTAGATTCATGGTTCTAGGGGGACAAATAAGAGAGTCACACTCTCATCATCTAGATTTATGACTTCAAAGGTCCAATGGAAATTAGCTACTGATAGCCTCCTCCATATTAATACTTAAGACAGGTCCCTGAGTGTCAACATACTCTAAACACAAGTTATAGCATGCTATTGTTCTTAGGTGTTCAGTATAGCTTCTTGGAAGCTTTTCTTATTGATTTCTTGATCTCTTTTGCTTATCTTAAATTTACAAGATATAGTCTAGAATACTCCTCAATCTTCTCCAGCGCCAATCAAGACAAACGAGCTTCCATAGTTAATGACCGTACTTGATCCAAGTACTACATGCTTAGTTTTTTAGCTTCTTAGAGGTCACTAGTCAGCCACGCAGGCTCCACAAACTGGCCCCTAAGTTTGTCTCCAGAGGCGACGCCACCCAAGGACAGCCGCCCGACGTCCACCGCCAAGTCTTCTCTCTCTTCCACCCAAGTAGGCGTGCCGTTCTCGTAGCTGTTGCAAGTCAGCCGCCGGAGCCCGCTGCCGTCTGCCGTCCTGCAAACGAAGAGGTCGCCGTAGGGCTGGAACTGGTTCGGAAGCCCCACCGGCTCCGCCACCACTCCGGCGATGTTCGACGTGAAGAGCAGCCACTTGGAGTCGGGGCTGAAGCATACGTGGTTGATCCGCTCTCTCCGGGACTCTTCCGAGCCTTCCGGCCCTGCCACGGGAACTCGCCGGAGACCCTCCCCGTCGGGCCGCACCAGGTAGAGCCCAAAGACCTCGGGGTCCTTTGGAGAGTGGCAGTTGGAGGAGAAGGCGATCAGCTCGCCGTCCGGAGACCAGCAAGGCATCGTGTCGATCCAATCGCCGTCCGTCAGCCGGCGGATCTCCCCGCCGCCGGTCTCCCCCTTGGTGGCGTCCATAATGTACAGGTTCTTCCGGCCGGAGCGGCCGGAGCGGAAGACGATCCACTTGCCGTCCGGCGAACAGGAGGGGAATGCGTTGTTTCCGGCGTCCGTCCTGGTGAGGATCTTCAGCTCCGAGGGGACCAGGTCGCCGTCGGCGACCTGATCAAGGCTGGCCGGATCGAAGGAGACGCGGGCTATCTGGACGGTCACCTCCGGACCTTGGAAGATGGGACCAACAGAGGTGTAGATTACTCCGCGCTCGGCGGGGTTCCAGGAAGTGTAGAAGGCAGCGGGCTTCTGAAAAAGAGGCCACCGCCGGGAACCATCGGAGCTGAGAACCATCAAACCGGGGCCTGACTGGAGGTGGCCGTTAATGGCGATGAGGTCACGGGCGGGGGAGAAGGAAGGGAAGTAGCCATTCACTCGAGACATCTTGAATTCAGCCACCGGGCTCGGCACGGGGGAGAGATGGGGAATGACGGAATCGCCGGCGGCCGCCTCTCCCCTGAACCGGTGGTAGCCGAGGCGGTCGCCGGAGTCGGAGAGGAAAGGGTTGTAGTGGTGGAAGTCGGGGTTGACCAAAGCCGTCACGGGGAGGAACTCCTCGGTTTTGAGGTCGAAGAGCTCGATGTGGCGGAATTGGGACTCCCGGCGGCGGGTGGCGACGGCGATGCGGTTCCCATAGCGGGAGGCCGCCGGGGTGAACGCGTGGATCCCCGGCGGCGTCACACGACGCGGCGGTCCGACCACATCGAGATCCGAAGTGATGTCCACCCGGAACACGCTCCACCAGCCGTCCTCCGCCACGCGGTGGAAGAACAGCGTTGAGTCACCGGACCAGGCCGGCCATCCACCGCGGCCGCCCGAGACGGGCACGCGCCTGGCGGGGTCGGAGCGTCGGAACACGACCACCTCCGTCTGCAGCTCGTGGAAGTCGCCCTTCCAGGGACAAGAACCATACGTGGCCACAGCCAGGATCTCGCCGGAGGCGGAGACGGCGATGCTGAAGTCGGCGGTTCCTGCCGGAGTAAGTCGCTCCGGCACCGCCTCTGGCCGGTCGACCTGAGCGGAGTACACCGCCGACCAGCTCCGGAACGGCCCCCCCGCCGGCCGTTCATGGGCGGAAACGAGGTGAACCAAGCCATTGCGGACCACGGGACGGTCGTGGTGGAGACTCTCTGGGAAGTGGGGGAGCGGCTCCGGCCGGCCCATCCGCGCGAGAAAAGGCCGGGCGGAGCCGGACCTCTCGGAGACAAAGGTCACGGCCAGGGGGCCGTCGTCCTCGAGGAACTGGCCGTTGAAATTGAGGGAGACGCCATCGGTGTGGCGGGTCTCCGGCAGTCGGTCGCTGATAGCCACATCCACGGGAACGGAGAAGACGTCGAAGCCATAGAGCTGAACGTCGACGGTGGCGAAGACGATGGTTCCGCTGGGCAGGCAGTCCTCCATTGGAGGGCGGCGAGAAGGACTAGAGGCAGAGTGGATGAGAAGGAAATACTGGTTGGATTGGACGCAGCGGATGAAAGCCGTCTTTCATTGCGGATAAGTGACGCAAGGGGAGGGGGGGAGGGGGGCTGTGGAGCGTTAATATACGTGGCGATCCGAGCTTCAGAGCTCGCATCAGCGGTGACATGCTAAGTGTGAAAGGCATCTTTCTTAGGCTATATTCGGACACGTGGACGTCGGTCAATTTTCCTGCTCTGGCATACAAAGGTGAAAGGATAAGTCCACGGATGTGGTACCAGATTTGGAGGTGATGCCACGTCACTGCCCACGTCTTCAAGCACACAAGGGAGAGGAAGCCGGTTCTACACGCCAGTTGCAAATTATCAAGCTCATTTTGGCACAACTGGTAGAGTTAATTTCTACTCTATTATTGGTAAATTTCGTGCATTTTTGGTCTTAATTTTTTTGAGAAATATTGAATGTTTTTGACATAAGTAGATTGGCCACGTGGTCACATGATTGGATCCTCATTAGCGCCGTTGTTGCCATTATGTGCCAAGATCCACTGCCTCACACGTCATCTCTATGCCAAGTGATCTAGCTGACGTGTCTGCCGACAAGCCCACGATAACCTTGCTCATGTGCGTGCATGTTAACATGCCCGCGTTGATCTCTGCTGATGTGCACACTCGTCTCAGCAGCAAGCGCTGCCTACTCACCTCCACTTGGTAATCTGAGCTTCAATGATAGTCAATACTCCTGTTCTTCAAGGATCATAAATATGATTTCTTCTCTCCTATGAAGTCTTGGAGATGTAATGTAGAGAGAGAGTCCTGGAGCCTTGTTGGGCCTCCCACACTCGCAAGATAAAATAGGGACTTGGCCCTCCATCAAGAAGAAGATCATGCAATTAGGGAAAGAAGTCCACCTGTGAACAGACTACATAGTTTGCTGTGACTTCTCATGCTCTAACCTTTAACAAGGCTATATGTGTCAAGTTTACAACCTTGATTTGATAATTTTCTTGTGACAATGTTAGGCTCAATGAGACACTTCTCTGTTGGAGAGGAAGTTGTAGGTGGCCCCATAGTGGGCCATTGCTAACATGGGTTGGCCATTGATGTTAACCTTAATGTGGATCAACTTGAGCTTGCTAGTTGTATTGATCTTTGCATGTTGTTACCACACATCCAAAATCTACAAAGAATTGAATATAGGAACTTCATTCCCTATTGTTTCTTGTGTTGTCATCACGTTTGATGGTGCCCCTGTCCAATTGTCCTGGAGAATCATTGTGTAGGTGGAGCCCTTTGCATGTGAAGCATTTGTCATTGGCTTATTGGCCCTTTGATGTTGCCTTAGTGGTATTTGGTTTTCTCCCTAATCCCTATTGAAGCTCCCACCATTTGCTGTACTTTCTCTTGCCACAACCACCATCGTCATTGTAGGCTTCTGATCCTCTCGATGTTTGGCACCTTTTGTCGACGTTGAGGTGCTTGAGGTCTTGTAATTAATGAGGGCACTGCTAATTGCCATAGCCAATCAATGCATGATCTCTACTTATAGCCATAGTGTATAATAAGTTAGCTATGAAGTTGAAGAGCTTATTTACGTAAGACACATTCTTAGTGTTTAGCAGGAGCAACGAATATCTCTTGATGTACACTTGCATAGGCCTAATATGTAGTAGCTGAAAAGAGCCTCTTGCACCATTGAGAGGCTGCTGGTGAGAAAGAATTACTCTTTCAATTACTAGATGAACAGATCCCAAGTGTCAATGGAGGGTCGTACCTGAACCTTTGTGAATGTCTACCACCAAAACTTGGCATTTGATATAAGGTATATGCTAGCTAACATCACCATATCAATTTCTAAAAATGTGATCTAAGTCTCAAAAAAGTTCTCAATCCACTAAGCATTATACATACTCACAAATCCTTTTGGCTTCAAGTCTCCATGCCAAAACATGTTGCTTCTTTATGACATGCTTATGACTAAGCACTTTATCAATGTTGAAGGAGAAGGAGATAAAACCCTCATTCGTATTAGAGAGAAATTAGAGGGAGGTTACATATAGGAGGGAGAAGGGATGAAAGAAAAGAGAAAGTTGTGGTAGGTGGGAGGATGTGTGTGTGTGTGTGTGTGAGAGAGAGAGAGAGAGAGAGAGAGATGCGGGTAGGGATCTTACCCGCATCTCTTTCAAGTGGGAGCATAAATGTCAATTAGTCCTAATTTATACGAGAAAACATCATAGGACGAGAGATTAAGACCCTTCGTAAAGATGTCTACCAACTGGTTTGAAGATGTCATGTATAGAGTAGAGATCAGACCTTCAAGAATTCACCAACATATAACATGGCATACCATCTCAATGTGTATGGTATGCATGTGATACGTCTTGTGATTTGTAATAAACATTGCGGCTTCGTCATTACAATACATGAGCATAGTCCTTTATACTGGATAACCTAACTGTTCAAGAAGATTACGTACACAAAGCATACAGAAAGACGTCTCATGCATGGCTTGATACTCTGCATCACAACTAGACAAAGACAATACACTCCTTGTGACTTGTCTAGGTCACTAAGTTGTCACCAACATAAATATAATAATTAGTGGTAGATTTTCGGTCTTCTCAATCCCTCACAAGATTAGAGTTTGAGTAACCTACCACACGAAGATGCCTATGTCAGCGAAAAACTAATCATTTCTCGGGAGCATGCTTGAAGTAGGTTAGAAGATGAAGTGCAGCATCCCAGTGAATCTTGCGTGGCTCATGCATAAACTGATTGAGGAGATTCACAGTGAAGGCAATGTCCGAACATGTAATCGTGAGATAAATCAACTTTCCCACAATCGTTGATATTATTGGAGATCATTGAGTAAGAGAGATTTTTCATCCCAAAACTTCAATTGGCTCTTGATCGGTGATGCATGAGGGTTGTAGTCAAGAAGGCCCATCTCCTGCAAAATATCAAGAACATACTTCCACTAGGTAAGAACTACCTCACTAGGGTGGCAAGTGAACTCAACCCCCAAGAAGTACTGAGAGTCCCCAAATCACGAATATCCAAATGTTCTAGGAGAAATGCTTTGGTATCCTAGATGCTAGCCACATCATCTTCAATAATGATCATATCATTGACATCGACTGGCAAAAGAACATAACCACTAGCAAATGACTGTCTGAAGATAGTAGACTCAAAGTCGCACTCCCAAAAACCCTATTAGCGAATCAACGTGCTGAACTTGGTAAACCAAGCTAGAGACTCTATTTAAGGCTGTAAATAACTTTTCGAAGACGACAAATGTTGACAAATTTTGTTGACAACACGTACTCAGGAGGTTGCTCTATATAAACTTCTTCATCAATGTCGTTGTAAAGAAAAGTGTTGGAGATGTGAGTTGATGAAGTGGCCAATTAAGATTCACCGTCATAGAGACTAATATGCATGTCGAGGCAAGCCAAACCAATGAAGAGAATGTCTTAGAATAATCGATGTCATACTTTTGTGAGAGCCCGTGAGTCACCACTCCTGCCTTATGATGGTATACCATCCAATAGGAATGTACTTAAGGGTGAAAACCTATATATAAGAAATAATATTAACACCACGCAGCCGAGAAACTAACTCCCCCATATCACAGTGGATGAAAGTGGCATACTCTTCATCCATGACTGTCTTGTAGTGAGGTACTATCAAAGCATCCATG